CTGAGAATAACTAGCCTGTTATCCAAATCTCAGTGTTCTCCTTTTGGAGTCTTATCTCTACAGACTGACTCTCCCTTCCCCCTGTCATTACATATACAGTTCCTGCTCCTTACACATTGTGTTACCTGATTTACCTCCCATACCTTTTTAGTACAGCATTTTGCTTTGCAAAACTCCATAAAGAACCTCATGTTTTCAATGACGTGTGAATTAGTGACCCAGTGTTTGTTAGAATGCTTAAGGGAAGCCAAAATGCTTCCATTAAAATGCTCAAATTCAGAGACCTAATGGAATGGGGAGAATACAGACAACAATGAGAAAAATGCATATCAATGATAGAGCACATTGTAAGTCAACATTGTATGTCACATTGATTTTAGGATTGACTCTTTCAAAGTTCTTGCTTCAGTTTTTCTTGGATCTTTCAGTTAGTGAGGTTGGTTGGCTTCTCTCTTCCCTTAAGTCTGGGGCACATTAGGTCCAAAGAAGTCCTTCTCTGTCTGAACAATTCGGGGCATGATAGTTCAGCTGAGCTTTTCTACTTGACCAAGCAAAGTGTTTATATCTAAAAGGGTGCTTAAAGAACTATGTGTCATCGGGGTGTGGTGATACACACCTGTAATCCCATCACTGGAGGCTGAGGAGGAGGGTGACAAGTTCCATATGTGTCTACATTCATTTGAGGAAAAAGAAGCAACCCATGGAAAATGCAGAGGTACCAGTGATAGCTTTAGAGATTTTAAAATGCAATAAAACATTCTGAAATGTGCTGAATTTTTTGTTTAGTGTGGTATTCTGTGTGTATATGTATGTTTCTTCATAAATAAATAAAACTTTTCTTGTTGCAAGAGATATTAAAATAGGTACTAAAACTACCTGTGATCCCATGAGCCAAAGAAAATGATGTTTCATTGTATATCCTTCTGGACTTTGTTCACAAATGCATGTATATTCTATCATATTTTTAATTTTTCCCTATAAATTATTTATGCCCAACCATTACAAAATTTCATCAAGAATAACATTCTGCAAAGTTTATGGCCTTGGTGTTTGAAGGGAAAGATTCTTGTTAACCAGTCAGGTCACCAGCAGAGAACTTGCTTGTTTTCTCCAAAGGGACACTTGTTCTTAGGTTTCTCACTTGTGTAGATCACACTCAGGCTCATACTTTGAACATACACTTCCCTGTAAAAGTTTTCTGGGACCCCTTAGAAGTGGCATTTGCTCCCTTCTGGCCACTAAGGGCAGATGGTGCCATCTGTAACCACATTCTTCTGCCTCTTTGGAAAACTCCCTGCATGGACCAGATGAGCCCATTAAGACAGGTGCCATTTCTGCCCTCAGGCCTCACACGTGGTATGTGATGTGACATAGAACACAACCCTCCTGCTGTCACAGAAGGCACGAAGTGTGCATTTGTCTAAGAAAAACCAGGGGTGTGCCATTAAATATGGGGTCATGCCGCCTCCTGTAGCCCGTCCAGCACAGTATGGCTTGTAGTTATCTCTGTCCCAACAAGGACAGCAGGTGTAGGAGAATTCTGCCACACAGTGACCCTCTGAGGGTTTTTCCTGGGTCTCTCAGCTGTTTTCAATCCTTCCGAATAGTTTTAGCTAAAATAAATTATAAATTGTAATAGGGAGGTTTGTTCCAACATTCATATTTATTAGATTTTAAGATTTAATGACCAGCGGGCCTAAAACAAATGTTTGATTTCTTTTTTTTAAAAAAGCAGTCAAGTGGACGCTCTTGATTTTAACTATTTAAATATTAATTTGAGGTCATAACCCACTTTTGGCTCCTGTAAAAGGTGTGGCTTTTTGAAATGAAGGTTTTCAGCAAGTCGCTAGCAATGAGGAACCAGTGCCTCCGTAATTTTTTTTTTTTTTTTTTCTGGTGAGACTGGGGTTTGAACTCAGGGCTTTGCACTTGCGGAGCAGGTGCTCTACCACTTGAGCCACACCTCCAGTCCATTTTGCTCTGGTTATTTAGGAAATAGGGTCTCAAGAACTATTTGTCTGGGCTGGCCTCAAACCATGCTTCTCTTGATCTCAGCCTCCCAAGTAGCTAGGATTGTAGGCCTGAGCCACTGGTGCCTACTCTGTTTATATTTAAAAAGAAATCTTATTTGTAAAATATAACTATGTTGGTTGAACTGGGACCTTTTAGAATGTTTCATGGACCACCTCCTAGAGGAAACAGACTTTAGTTGGTTACCCCCATATCTTTCAGACTGGTTTTGTATAGTTGACAGTGGGAGGCCATTAATTACTTTATATTTTTAAATCACTATTTTACTGCTCAGTAAGATATGAATGTGATCTCCTTGAAAAAGAATTCTAATTAAGGATAAAGTATCCTTAAACTAGTGTCTCTGATCCCTTCCCCCTACCCACCATCTATCCTTATTACCAGTTTGGTGAGGACATTCATGGAAGTCTAAAGCTGTGCATGTGTTTGAGTGCGTTGAACACACAGATTCCACTATACCTACCATTCTGTGGCATGCCATTTTCACCCAACATTGTGGTTTGGAAGTCGGTCCCATGTCATTACCTGCAGAGAGAGCACATTCCTTTCAGCCTGTGCACAGGGCTTTGTACGAGGTCACTTGGATGACTGATTATTTAGGATTTCCATTGGTTTCCCATTTGCCTCGCTACCAAAATGCTGCAGTGCCCATCCCTGAGAATGCACCTTGAAGGAGGAGGCAGGTGTTTCTCTGTGATAATGAATAGTCCCCTTTATTTTACGTGTCCAGATCTTTAGCTACAAGGAATTTAAGATTGGCCAGAAGTCTTAAATGATTACCAGCATGTGAATTCAAACGATTTTCTCTGACTTTACTTACCTAGTTGGAGATTCTTTATGAATTTTTGTAAGTCTTTGGGATCCTAGGCTAAGTATATCTGAATTAGGGGGGATGATCTAAGTTTAATCACAAAATGGCATATAATTTTGAAGTATATACAGTGACCTATACCAATATGACATGATAAAAGTCCTTAAAGATATCATATTAATGAACCAATAAAAGCACCTAGTAATTATATTTATGACTAAAGACATATCAGAATTGTCCAACACATTCTTATCTATAGGTGAAATGTTTCTCTAAATCTTCTTTATATATTAATTTGTTTAGGAAATGTTTTTTCCCTAGCTAGAGCCAAATAGCCCTACCCACTTCCTTTCTGAATGATTCAGTTAGCCAAGGAAGGTGAAAGAGCTGGACATTGGAGTTGGGCCAGGTCAGGTTTTATACATTTGGATTTATTTAATTATGTTAGCAATATTCCAAAGTAAGTCGTTGTAGTTACATTTCATCAGTGGAGAAACCGAGGCACAGAGGACTCTAAAGTGACATGCTAAACATGGCTGGAGTTTGCCTGATTCAAAAGAATAATATGGCATTCTTTTTACTGTATTACAGTTTCCTTAAATGTGGTCAAGACACCCTTTCCATCAGAATCCATGGGAAAATTTGTTAATACTGCAGATACTCAGGCTCCTGAAATGGGGCCTGGAACTCTGCATTTTTAACAGGTGCTGAGTGTTCCTTGTGTATTCTGAAATCTGACAGCCACTCTGCCAGACAATGGTGACCTCATTTTGGTGATGTGAGAAGCCTTGTCAGAGAGTGCCTAGTGCCACTTGGGACAAGTGATTCTTGACAAGCCTGAGTTGGAGTGGGCACATTAGCATTGCTCATCTGGGTGGCTTCCTCCTTCCTCACCCACTTCCACTACCTCCGATTATTTGCACTGACTTAGCATGGATCATGGTTTGACAAGTCATTTCCAAAACAGTTGAAGTCATCATGCTAGATGGGAATCACTTTCAAAAGCAAGTTGAAATTTCTAGTGCAGAATCATCACATCCCAAGTGTATCTTTGGCGCTTGATACAGATGGGATCTACATCCTGCAGTCTAACCACTGCTCAAACAAAAAACATGCAAAGAGGTGGCAGCTTGTGAAAAGGATTACTTTTGAAACACCCATATGTGCTTTATTTTCTTTTCTCGCCTTCCTTTCCCACCCTTCCCTAGTGACAGATTCTCCATAAACCTGCCCCCAATTACTGCTCACTTTCCTAGAAGTCAGGAGATCAGTGAGCTCTTCTGGCTGGAGCCCTCCTACTAAGGTCAGGGTTTGGGGACAGCTAGCCAGGTTCAGTGACCACCATTGTCTCCTTTGCCTTTTTCTTTCTCCATTATTATCTTGTTTCTCAGCTCTGTGAAAAATTTCCTTTCCACTCCCAAATGACATGCTTTCCCGGAGGGACTAGTGGAGCCCCAGTCTTTTCCAATGAGCTGAATAGGAGGTCGCTTGGATGACTGACAGGCATGAAGACAGACGTGCTGGTGGGGATCCTAGACCAACTTGGATTTGTTTTCATATTTCATCCTTCTTGGCTGGCAAAAGATCATCCGTCTTTGTTTTGATGTTGAGCTCATGCAAGTAAAGAAGGCATTTCCTCTCCTGAAAGGCAGAGGAAAAAAAAAAAAAAAGACAGAAAAAGACAGAAAAGAAAAACATTTTAATTTTAACCATGCACTCCTTTGAAACTAAATATATACCCCTTCCTCTGTCCTGATTGGTCCACTTCAATTGACAAGTGGATCGCAAGGAAAGGAAATGTCCTGGACTTAATTGTAAGTTAAGTCCCTCTTAATCCAGAAGAGCATTTGAGATTCTGTCCAAGTGTTCAATTTCCCAGGCCGCTGAGGTCTGAATTTCTTTTCCCAGCCTCTAGGCTGCTGCAGTACAAGTCAGCATAGCTAATGCAGATAGATCTCCTGCCTCTCGCTCTCCTCCTCCCTCTGCTTTGATTCCATATGAACAGCCTGGTAACTCCGATGCTGGGGAGAAATCTGACATAACTCTGCAGATGGCTAGGTGGCCATGAAACACGTGGGGACTGTTCTTTAAGAAAAAGGTAACATTTATATGCTAATGATTTCTTCCCCCCTCCCCTCCTTGTTGCATTTTTTTCCAGGGTTGCCAGTTCCCAAGAAGAGCCCAAAGTCGGTAAGGACTTGTCAGTTACTTGGTGCTTGTTTGGGGGTGGGGGCTGGGGGGGCGCTGGTGGTAGGAGGGAACGCTATCTAGCTTCACCTCTCTAAATGTGTTTCGGAGTGGATAGGGGAGACAGGAGATGGGGTTGATTTATTAAGTTCTGAGGATCTGTTTGGTGTAGATGATATTTGGGCTTGTCTTTTAACTGTGTTGGGATTTGTGGACAGGCTCAGGAACTAGGATAAAAAATGCATGTTTGGTATTTTCTGTACCCAAATACATAACAACTCTCCTGCAGATGGATGAGTTTCTTAGCTGTTTTAACTTGATACAAATGCTATTGTTTCCTTTGGAGAAAAAGAGAAAAAAAAAAAAAAAGGCTCCACCTGCTTCCTGAGTAGCATTGCTCTCAACTGGCGTTCACTGCCGTTCACATGGCTACCCATCCTCTCCCTGCGCTTGCTTATTCACGGGACGCATTAGTTACAAAATCAAAAGCCCATAGGTTTTGAGAAGAAGGCTGTGCCCGGTAGCCCGGTATAGGTCCATGCTCAGGTGGAACAGTGGTCACTGTCCAGCCTTGAGAAGAAGGCATTTCTTTGCTGTGAAATGTCCTTTGTTGCTTTGCTAGCTTTAGCAGGCATTATGCTGCAGGTATAGGATTCTCAAAAAAAAAATCAATGTTTTGCTGTCCTTTCTAATCTGGTTTGCCTGAAGATGCATTACCTCTGTTGACATGTTGGCTAATAGTTTAAAGGCTATATAGTGTTTTGCTTGGTGGTATGAGCTCTTGCTCCCGGGGCACTAACAACAAATTAAAATGCGACTTTAAAACTCAAGATGCCTGTGAAATTGAGCTGGGTGGAAGAGGCTTCCCAATTCATTAACATTAGGATTTTTATTTAAAGCGGGAGGAGGGGGTGAGGGGGCTTCCTTGTGGCTTAGATTACTTAGGGGAGGGAAAAATTACAGTTTTGTGTCATCCAGAAAAGGGGGACTGTTAAAACTTTGCAGCTCACGGTGCTGCAGCTGAATTCCTTCCACCTGTCTCCAAGCCTGGCATTTCGAGGCAGAAGTTTATTAAGGAGATGAGAAGGGGAGTGTCTTGCATTCTGAAGCCCTGCTCGCCAAGTTCTCCAAAGAGGAAAACCTGCAATAAGTGATGTGATTCCAGTGACGTTGTGCCATGGTGATCAGAACATTGACTTCAGGGCTGCTACCCTTGTCAGTTTGTGTTAATGTCCAGGCAGGAGTGCTGGTCAGTGCCCACACTGGGACCACAGAGATGTCAAAGAGTGTGAGTGTGCGCATGTGTGTCTCCCAGTCCTTGGGTCATAGTCAGAAACCCATTCAGCCTTCAGAAAAATAGAAGTGCATCTGGAAGATGTGTCTCATGAGCTCAGGTTAGTGTGAGCCACCCATTTTTCTCCACCCCTCCACATGGCATGGGGTCTGAAAGGGAGATCCCAGGGAGATAGTAGTCTTGCATCGCTAGTATGACATCAGTTAGCTAGGTGTTCTTTTCTGGTTTGCATCTGATTGAAATTTACTGTGCAAAAGGATTTTTATAATCTGCTTGCACCTCACCTTCCCCAAAGTATTCTGGAATTATCTGGAACTCAAAGGCTATCAAACAGGTGTAGAGCCTGTATTCATGAAATCAGGAGAATTCCCTCTGACCGTTTATTTTTTGTAAAAGCCATGTCATTAGCAAGTAGCAAGCCAATTACTCCGGCTGTGTTCCTAGGATAAAAGCTCTCTCAACTGCTTTGCCCACAGTCTGTTGGCTCTTAATTACCACAAGCTAAGAGAAGGGTGTGCTGCTGGGCTCAAAAAGAACAAGCCCCCAGTTTGGGGCTTGTCCTCACCTGGTTCCTGAGCTACGATTGGGATGATGGTTTTCACAGCATTGCTGGCACACTCTTGCAGCTGCTGCATACAATTTGGAGGCTGTTGGCCAAGGGCTGCCGTTGGCAGTAAAGCACTGTTAGCATCTGTATTCAACGGGCGCTCTGTACAGGTGGGTTGGAGACCATTTCCCTTCCCCAGTTTGAATTTGGATGATGTCCTGCCAGAGAGAGAGACAGAGGTGATTATGGGATGTTTCTGGTGGGGTTGGAGAGAATCCATGGGGAAGCTGGATGTCCTGGGACCAGTGAGCCACTCAGGTATGACATACAGGTCAATTATGCAGGCTACAGAATGAAAAGCTCACAGATGGTGACTGTCTTAGATTTCCTGGTAGCTCTGTGAATATAGTGTCTGAACCCAGGTCCAGAGTTTTCTTGATTGTTCTTTTTTAAAGGCTTGTGATGTGATTGGCTTCCTCGTATGACTGACAGCTTCCTGTGTTCTCATACCTTTTCTTTCTTTTTTTTTTCCCTCAAAATAACTGTTTTCAGTAATTAGGTAGTTGAGTTTTTATTAGAGAAGAAGGCTTACCTTTTTAATCTTTTTTTCACCTCCTGGATAGTTCCCATAGCATACTCTTAATAAGTAATTTCACCAGCTAGAATTTAGTTTAAATGTTGAATGTGTGGTTTATACGCTCATTGGGGACAATGATAGTGTCTTAATAAAGTTTTATTAATTTAATATCTGAACTTCCATAACATCAGGGATTTTTCTGCCAAATGGCAAAGGCAGAAATAAGACATATTTGCTGTCAGATTTTAGATCTCTCTGGAAAACTGATCCTGTGGCCTAACTTAATCATCCTGACTGGAAACTTATTTAACTGAGACTCTCATTTTAAATCACACCCAAAGATCTTATGTCTAGAAATTGAAAACTCTAAATTTCACACTAAACCTTGAATTTTAAGTCATATCCACCCATGTTTTCCTTCAAGGTCATGTTCCAACTTTTCCTTTCTCTCGTTCTCTTCATCTGTCCATCCATCATATATCCCTTCATCCATCCTTACTTCTACCATGTATTCAGCAAAGTAGTGTTAAGAACCTATTAATTGTGAGGCTTAGTGTGAGTCATTGAAAATAAATAAATAAGATGGTCTTGGCATCTTTCATCTTGCAGCTCATGACTATTGATTGTACTTTCCAAAACAGGATGCATTATCAGAATTCACAAAAATACTTTTACTCCATCAACAAGTATTTACTGAGATCTTCTCCAAGTATTCAGGAGGAACTAGGACAGAAAATATTCCTGCCTCTGTGTAACTGGGAAAAGAGAAACAGTAATGTCATCAACAGGCAGGTCTATACAGACCCTTACCTCATGGGGTTTAAAGTCTGATGAGCATATACTTTCAAAAGTTAATAAAGCATAAGTATAGGACAGAGTACACACATTGTGAAAGTCACTCAGCTTTAAGTCACAGTAACATAAGTTAAATAGTCATATAAAGCCCAACACACAAGATGGAGTGAAATGCTGTGATCGAACTATGGAATTCTTTGGAGTTCCCTGGCAGCCTGAGCAGCATAGGAATCACATTATTTACTTAGCTATTATTGTCGGATAAAAGAAAGCATACCATATTCAGTAAGGAGACACACCTGCCAAGTCACTAAAAAACTCACAAAGTTTTTATGTACAGGAATCTCCTTGTACTAAACATAGCAAACTGAAAGGTATCAATAGTGGACAGGTTTCTGTTCCACTTTCCTCTGTCCCTTTTTCCTGCAAGGGATGCTAAAGCAGATTTCTAAAAAAATCTTATCACTAAGACATGTGAGGGAGAGAGGTGAGTGACTCCCACCTGAGTCACTCAACTTTGTGTACACTGTCCCTGTTTTCACCTTCCTCTGCCCCCACCCGTACCCCTCTCCCCCTGGTCAGCATAGTAATAGATCCCATGAAAGCTTCTACATGCCACAAGGAGAAGCAGAATGGTGGATGGGAGAAGGAATAGGTTTACTTAAAGTAGTTGTCTTGCCTCTTACCTCCCACAGTGACTCATGTTCTGCATGGAGAACCATTGGAACCCACTTGGAAACTAGACTTTGCTGTTGTGTTAAGTTCTTTAAAACATTCACTGTGAACCAAAATTCATTTTCATATCCAATCAGTGTTTTCCTTTTCACCATTAACTCCTTTTACCAGGCTTTTGGAAAGAAATTGTTTCTCTTAGACCGATTCATGATAAAAGAAAGAAGGGCCATCCTCTTCTTTGGCTTGGAACTGAGTCTGATTTTCACACAACCTTTAATGACATTGGCCTCATACCTCATCAGCACTTGGAGTTTTTCCTGTTATCCATGTAAATCACTGCAGTAGCCTTGGGTCTTGGCAGATAAGTGAACTGTAAATAATTTTGCTTTAAAATAGATCAGTTTGTCATTTTTTAAGCCACATGAATTCTTTTCATCATTTAAGCTCCTAAGTGCTGTCTGTATTCATTTGCTCTTCCGAGCAAATATTTTCAGTTCATTTTATAAGTACCTCTATTTCTAAATCATTCTGTGAAATACTGATGAGATAAAACTTTCCCATTTCCATTTATAAAAACCATCACATCTTCCCGATTTTCCTGGTCTGACAGTAAGTAGTATGAGAGTCACTCATTTTAGGGAGATGGCTACAGTTTTATTTTAAAAGGTTTTATGATATAAGTTCACAGCCAGAATGTGGCCAGGGATGTTTGTGGAGGTCTTAAAATAAAACCCATTTCTTTCTTCCTTGTTGGCCATGACTTTAGACTCAGAAATAAAGTTCTTACTTAATCCTGGTGATATCTATCTCACTATGTGGCCCCTCTTTCTAAACCTTTACTCAAGTTAAAGACTTGGGGGTGAGTACCTCGTTTCTAAGATGTCCTCTTCCTCCTCCTCTTTTCTGTTCACCTGGTCAGCAATGCTTGTTGAATCTGGCACCAAAATGTCTTTTGATCTCACTGTTCCTCTCACTCATCACTACCACTGTCCCAGTATAAGCCACCTCGGATCTGTCGGTTAGATGGCAGCAGTACTCCCTGACTGGCCTCTCTCCTTTCACTCCTTTTTCCACCGGTCTATTCCCTACCTGGAAACCAGACCAGACTTTCTGGAAATATATTGGCTCTTGGTGCATCCCTATTTTAAATCCATGAATGAATTCCCCTCTTAAACTAGGAATGAAACCCAGGCTCCCTATAGAGGTCCACAAGGCATTTGCATTATTTGACCCCCAAGTTTATCTCATGCCACCCCATGTCCTTACCATTCTTCAAACAATCCAAGCTTATTTTTACTTTGGGGACTTTGAACATGCTGGGTCCATTAACAGGATACTCTTCTACAGACTCCTCTTTACATCCTATTTAAGGGATGTTGTGGTCTGTTGTTATAAATATATTATGAATATTTGATTAATATCCATCTACAAAATCTGCTTACACACATGAGATACACACTCATGTATAAATTCCAGGAGGTCAAGTACCATCTCTCTCTCTCTCTCTCTCTCTCTCTCTCTCTCTCTCTCTTTCCATTGTATGCCTTAAAGTCTAGCACACAAAAGATGACCAATAGGTATTTGTTGGTAGAGTGAATAAATGTTTTACAGGTAATCACTGTAGGAGGGCCTAGCCTAGAGTTCTTCTCCACATCCACGTTATTAGGTGCATAGGGCGCCTTTAACAGGCCTGGACACGTATCTTTGCTATTTGTCTCTGTCCCAGTGCCTTACCTAGGAAAACAAAGTGATGTTACATACCTGTAATTTCAGCACTTGGGAGGTAGAATTAGGAGAATCATGAGTTCCAGGCCAGCCTAGGCTACCTAGTGAGGCCCTGTCTCAAACAAAACAAAACCACCAAAAAGTGTGGTGAAAGACAATGATAATGGATGCATATCTGATCCTGTGCTGTCATTAATGCAGAAGTGAATTTACTTTCACGCCCAAAGACTTTTGAGAGGTAATCCAGAAAAGCCATACACGCTAACTTTAATTTGATTGATCTATAAACATACCTTTTTCTCCTGAACAATTCCGGGCTCTAACCAGGTAGAGGACAAATAATTAGCATGCTCACAGAAAATGAAAAATTGTGTTTTGAACACACACACACACAAACTCTATAGCTTAAAAAAAAAAAAACAAGTGCAATACAGAATGCATTGTCAAATTATAGGGTTTTCATAATTGATTCTGAGAAGGAACATAGACTGAGGTTAGATCTTACGAAAAGGAAAGTCCCCAAAAGCTTCTAGGCCTTAGCGTGCCATTTAGATATGCCAGTGAATGAGTGCTTAATGGTGGTACAGGTTTTGAAGCACATTCTTAGGATGCCCCTCGACTTTCACTCCCCAAATTGAAGGACAAAGTTTAGATGGTATTTAAAAGGAACTCAGAGATATGGTTTGACTGAGAAGCAGTTTTTCCATCTCATTCCAGATTATGTCTGTCATTTTGTGTTAAATCTGACCTAAATGAATCATTTATTGAGGAGGTGAGAAAGACTGTTAAAATTTTTTAAATGGCCCAAGTGTTCCCAATGGACTTCGTTTGCATACTCCCTTTAGTGTGAAGCCATCTCTCCTTAAACTTAAGGGATCTAGATTCCTTCATGCCAGAGATTTGTTAAGTGGGGTAGACATCATGGGGTCTTCGAATCCACAGATGTGGCTCGCCACACTGTGAGCACACACCTGTGAGTAAGGTGTAAAAGCACATAGGCATTTTCTATGGCAGAAAGATCCAGCTCTTGTATTCCACTCTCTCAGTGGGGCAGAGCTGCCAGAAAGATATTTTTCTCTAGTTTAGGAAAAGCGATCAAATGGAAGAGGCTCAAGCTAGGTTTCCAGGGGCAACGGCCAAAGAGGACAGTGGGTCAGGGACTGCAAAGTAACCCTGCAGAAGAAACAGCACTGAAGTGTTTCCTTCCACAGTGCCTTTGTGGTAAGGACTCAATAGCTACCAGGGTTAGAGACTTAACTCCAGCTCTGAAATGAGTTCAGTGTTGATGGACTCACCCTACAATCTGGTATTTGCAACTCATTCACAGATCCAAAAGAGGGTGCACATTTGAAGGGAGGTATGCAACTGTCAAGGTAAACTTAGACATCCTTTATTGAATTGTTTTTACGTTTGGAATACCTCCTTCCTCCCCCTGCCAACAAAAAGAACAAAAAGTAACAATCATTAATTCTGGTCACCAAAATTCATTTCAAAATGAATTTCAATATTGAATTGGTTATAAAATAGTCCCTGTGCATTATTTTAAAATTTTATTTATCTATTTGGGAAAGTATGAAACTAAAAGGGGAAATCCCACCTATAATCCCACTTGTTTCTTGTAGTGTGTGCTCACGCTAACAGTGGGCTGATACGCTACACAATTGTTTATAATTGAGATCCTTATAAGGACCACATAGAAGAGAAAAACAAATTCCCAAACACATCCAAAAGTAAGTGGGTTTTGTGTCTGTCTTTACCTTTCTCACCCTCAAAATCTTTGTAGAGCATAGTGACCTCTAACCCTAACTCCTGGAGAGGAAAAAACAGGAGGAATCTCATTCCAGGGCTAGCTGGGGCAAAAGTGCAAGACCCTGTCTGACAAAAACAAACTGAAAACCAAAGGACTGAAGTATGGCTTGACCCTGAGTTCAATCCCCACTACCTTTAAAAAATAAAAAAGCCTTCACACCACACCGCTCCTAGGGAAGCTACAGGATAGGTATTGCGTCTTGGGCAGAAGCGAGAGATCTGACCGTTGGCAGAGTCTGCTTCTATTTCAAGTATTTGATATGCTGATCCATCCGGGTCCAACCTGAGTACTTTATGCTCAAAAGGGAACAAGGGGGATGTGGTGTTATTATGGCATTTGTCCTCACCCAAATGTTAATGTGTTTTCCTGGCATGTTCACAAGAGTATGTAAGTAAATTAAGCCTCTCCTGTACTATTACCAGTCTTAAAATATGGTGTGTCAATTTTTACCACAGGCACACCAAGGACAATTTTAGATGGCCTATCTTGCCTTCATGAAATATATGGCTAATTTTCCTCACTTTAGAATCCTTGGCAAAATCTATGTTCTGATCTATTCTGTAACAGTCAAGAGCAAATACAGTCGTGTCCTCCATGGGCTTTCTTCTGATACTTGTTTCAAAGCAAGGTGTAGAAGGATAGGAAATAGATAGACCTGAGAATTAAATGAAAAGGATCATGGAAATTCCCAGGTGGAATGAAAGATGGAGGATACCTGGGGAGAAAGCAAGAAAGAACTGTTTTGATAGGATTGATGATGACACCTGGTATAGAAAAAATTAAGAGCCTGAACTGCTTAGAGTTGAAGATCTTACAAAGTACTTTTAAAACAGAAGTATATAGGATCTGTAAGAGAGGATGGACACACCCTTCATGTCTTCCACCTCTTTATGATGCTCTGAGGCACCTAGGGACATGTGACATCTGTTAGATAGAAGGGCAAGATTTCAATTTTGAATGGGAAAAACAAATTACCATAGTTTTTTTTGAAGAAAACAGTAACTAAAATTGTTTTATTTCCCAACCAGCATTTTTCATCCCAGTATGTTTTGCTCTCCAATCAATGATCATTCAGAGTCCATTTCATAAAATGGGAAGGGTCTTTACTAAGCTAGTTTTAATGAATAGGGACTTGCTTATTTATTGAAATTTAAATGGAACTCCCCTTTGACTACTACTTACATTTTGGACAAGTTGCAAGTGTAAGAAAACTGAGTCCCAGGGGGCATCTCATACACAGTTCGATCTTGATCTTTCATCCAACGGCAATAGTTCCAGCTGGGGCCGAGGTGAGACACTTTGGCTGCAAAATTGATTAGCTAAGAATTATGAAAGCTCTTACTTACTCACATGTAAGTTCTAGTAGACATAAAATACTAGGCATGATTTCTTAAAGATATAATGTCTGTCTCTTGGTCTAAAAGAACTGATGGCAAACTTTTAGAGAAGGGTTGGATATTTTATTATTAAAAGATGCAACATAGGGGCCCCAAGGAGTATTTTGAGTCCTGATTGTATTTCTTCTGGATATTATAGTCTTTCAGCTAAACCACTCATGGTATTTTGTGTCACATGTTTTTGTCAAGAAATAAAGATGTTAAAACTGATACATCTTGCAATAAACAAGCCCAGTATCTTAGCTGAGGACCTTAGATGAAAATTGGATATGTTTCCTGTTACAGACCAGAGAGAACAGCATGGTTTCTGATTAAGTCTTTCTGTCTGGACTGCCCCTCTATCTGTCTGCCAATCACTTGGGGATTTATCTGCATTCAACATTAGCAGGAGAAAGGTAGAAGCCAACGTGTTGGTGATATATTTGTGTATTTGTATGCAGAAATGCTGAAAAAAGACAGGGTGATAGGAAACACCCACTCGGCAAACTAGCATTAATCTCTTCTTGGCCTTTTCCCTTGCTTACTTTCAGCAACCACTGGAAAGGAAAGACAGCCAGAATAGTTCCCAGCACAGTGTTTCCAGCCACCGGAGCCTGCACACGGCATCACCAAGCCACGGCACTCAGGTGCTCCCAGAATACCCACCTGCAGAGGCCGCCACTCCAGATCAGACTGACAGTGCTGCACAGAAAAAGCCAGATCCTTTTAAAATCTGGGCCCAATCCAGGAGCATGTATGAAAACCGACGTGAGTAACACCCTAGCTTCTACCTTCCCCAGACCCCTCCCTGGGGCTCTGACTTTCTCTGTGGCCTTCTGAAAATAGAAGAGGTTCAGAGTTTAAAGGACTGAAGGCAAACTGGGTGGGAGGCAAAAGGATCTGAGGGCAAGTAGAATCTGCTGTGTTCATGGGGATCCATTGTGTCTTCAGTTTGAGGAGAGGGTACAAGTGGATGACCATCAAATAGACAGCCTGGATTGGTTTATTTTTTGTTCACTTAAAAGAAGTGACAGATCAGAACTGCTGTCTCCTTAAGTCTTCCCTGAGTGAGGGTTGTGGCATGCCCTGAGCTCATGTTTTGTGAAACAGTTCTACTATACAATAGAACACAAATGTGACTATAGGAGGAAAGCAAATGCCTTCTTAGTGGTCTTGGTTTTTAAAACTACTGGTAAATGGTTTTTTTAACCATTATCAGTCCTTCTAAATGTTCCCCTCAAAAAGAGAAAGCAAACAATAGAGAGTGATTTGTGCTTTATTTATACAACAGTTGAGTTCTTTGGTTTTACCTTTTCTATAAAAATGAGCTTGTGATGGTGTACTTTGTCACTTCTTAAGTCTTATAAACCTTGTGTCCCCATAGGTTCAACTTTTTTCTTTTTATTATGGAATGATGTCCAAAGATTCTTCATTATAAATAGTACTCATTTATCTCATTAATGAAAGTTTCTGAAGTGCTGGAATTTTGGGTGATGAATTGTAGACTGGCCTCTTTTGGGGGCCAATCTTAGAAATTTTTGCAATTTTTGAGCTCTTTCTCCTGAGTATAATGGGTCAGGGGCAGCATGTGTGACATACCTGCCTCTCCTTTTCCCTCTTTGGTATGAGATGGGGTAAAAGGTGTCAAGAGGGAGGCTGCCAAGTGGAAGGATCTGAGAAAAGAGGAAAAGAAAAGAGCATCATTTTGCCCATCCTCTTTGTCCATCCACCCTTCAACACCAGTTTTGTTCCTAGCCATAGCCATGGTCACCTCTCAGATGGGGACCCCACAGAGGGTTGTGTCACAAACCCAGCTTCTCCATGTATGCGTAGCTGAGCCATGTTCCTGTGCTGGCTGAAGGGTAAGTTGGGAGACTTCAACTGCTGTGTGACCCAGACAAAGGAGAGGAGTGAGGCCAGCAACCCCAACTGAAAAGGAGTTTCACCCTTGGGTGAAACTCACAGTGGGTGGGCCCAAGAGAGCCTGGGGTCCTGTTGCTTACCATCCCTTAGAAGTTGCTCAGGGCCTCTTCATCCTTTTCTCCTCATAGGATCCTTGCCCAGTTATTGCAACAGTGTGTGCCATTAAATAGGCTGTGTTGGCTAAGGCTCGCTATGGTGACAAAAAGCCAGCTAATTTGAACAGGGATTTATTTAGTGTCGAGACTGAAAAGACACCACTGAAGTGCCCTGGAGACCAGGCTGAAGGAAATGAACTTCCCTTTGGAACCTCCCTCACACATGAAATAGATGCTCAGTGGCCTTTATCTGAAATGCTCAGAACCAAAAGTTTTTCAGATTTCAGATATTTTCAGATTTTGAAATACTTGCTTATTCATGATGACCTATCTTGGAAATGGGACCTAAGTCTAAACTTGAAATTCATTTAGGCTTCATATATACCTTACACACATAGCCTGAGGGTAATTTTATTCAATATTTCTAATGATTTTGTGCACAAAACAGTTTTGTGCTGAGGAGTTTTTCACTGATAGTATCATGTCAGTACTTATAAAATTTCAGATTTCAGAGCATTTCAAATTTTGGATTATGGACATTCAATTGCCATGCATCTGGGGTCCATGCTTACTGTGACTCCTCCCTAACTGTAGTGATTTCACTTTTAAAAATGGCTAAAGAAATGTCTCCCAGAGGGGGAGTATTTTCTTACTCCTTTCACATTTCTCTCTAGCCATATGGCTCCTCCAATCAATGACCTAACTTCAGGGGATGTTGAACGATTACTTTATTGACCATACTCCTGCTTTCTCAATACAGTACACATTTATGATTGATTTTTCCATGTCCGAATCTTTTTGTGATCAAATAAATCATGTTCTGAAGCACTGGCAGAGCCTTCTGGATTGACAGGACAGATCTCGTGCATCCCTTCCATAGGAGGCTCCAGCTCATTTTCACCCTGATGGAGGCAGATTTCTTAGGATTTATATATTTTATTCAACTTTTAAGGAAGTTTTCACCAGAAAAAAAGAGCAAAATATGTAATGTGGCCATAACCAGCTGCTATAAGCATTGCAATTGCTCAGGTGGCAGACAGACTGACATATTTGGAGTGGTTTCATTTTTGTTCCTTCTTGAGCTTTAACGTATAAGGAATCAGATGTAGCACACAAATGAGAATCAATTTCTTTTTGGTGATTAGAGTCTCTGTAATTGAGTGATAGTGGAAACCTCATGGATGTTCAGATTCCCATGGATTTCTTCTTCACTGCTAAATGAGAATAGAGGTGAGGACCCCGCCCCCATGGTAATTACTCAGTATCTCTCACAGATTGTCTTCCTTTCATAGTACCTATGAATGAACCTGCATCAATCTTGTCTTTGAATCAGCATTTGCTGTATCCAGGATGAGTTTCTGTCATCGCCCTAGGTTGTTTTATGAACCACAACCAAAAAGTTCCGTGCACAGCTCTTATGAATGTGATTCCCTGTCTCTCCCTTCATAATGCAAGAAATGGAGGTACTCCAGGAAAACTAAGAAAATCGAACACAGCTGCAACTTAATTGTACCTTACTACCCCAATTTGGGCGAAAATACTTTTTCCTCCTATTGAACTTTATTGGTAACGGCAATGTGAAGATACACTCATTCTGATCACAGTCCTTCACATGGTCTAAATGTTTAGCAAAATAGCATATTCTTGAGATGGCCAACTGCCAAATCAGCAGTGTCAGACTGAATCAATCTGAATTAAAGATGTGTTAATGAATCCCTTTGAAGGGTTTCAATGTTTAATTAAAAGCAAAGAGAAGTGTTGAAGTCCTTTGTTGCCTGTTTTGTGTTTTCTCGAGATGACATACTAATTGTGTCTATGTCTTTAAAAATGACATTGATACAATCTTATCAGTAAATGTTCTGGACAATTAGCTGGTATCTAGTAGTGTTTACTGCAAAAGAAATTCCAATGCTTGTAATTGAAATTTTTGCCCCTTCACGATATAATTTGGAAAGAAAACAGCTCAAAGCTGTCATATTAGCCAACATTGTAAACCTGCCCTGCTTTGAAGAGAGGTGCTTACAAGTTTGGCACTAGGGACTGAGTTCCTTTATCATGGTGTGTTTAAAGAGCTCATGCATATGTCTGGGTTTTAAGATCTATTGTGACAGTTCTTGTTTGTATGTTTGCTGAGATCTTGGACAGTTTCTGTGATTTGCATCTCAAATATAAGACTGTTCTGGTTTGAACTGCCTAGAATTCACCAGGACAGGTATTTGTACAAGAATAAATTCTATCAGAAACTTGATACTCTTTTAAATAAATACTCTTCTCTAGCAGTGGCACAAATATACTTAAATTTTTTTAACAGCAGTAAGGATTTAGACAGACCAATAGTTCATGACATAATTGAAACAAGGTCATTTGAGAATGTGTGCTTTAGAGTCTAATTAAATATGAAGAGCCTAAGATGGTAATGGGAGTTATAGGAAAGTCTCAGTGGCACAATTATAAACTCTAGCTTTTTGTTGAGTGAAGCACCCTGAAAAAAAAGGAAGTAAAAAATGGAATCACAGCTATAGTCCTTTAATCCATAGCATCATGACATTTATTGTGGAAGCTGAATAGCACATTCCTTATCAATCACAACTGAAGTAAAATGAACTGAGAGAAAGAACGTACATTAAGCTTTGCCAAAAAAATTGTAAAATTAATATTCCAGCTATGTCACCTTCGCCTGCCTCGGGATTGAGCAAGGGTGAAAGAGAAAGAGAAATCAGTTCTACAAATTTTGGAGAATGTCAGAGTAAGGACCTGCTGCAAAGTTGTATTTCTCAATTATCATTCATCCTGTTTGATGTTCCCATCAGTCTGGGGGGTTGCGGGAGATGTTCAGAAAAGGGAAGGAAGAAAAAAGTGCCACAAAGGGGAAACACGTTGGTGTTTCCTTGTTGGCCAAGCATGAAAGACGAGATCAAAAGTAATGTTGCGTGTCTTTACCAAGTCTGGAAACGTGTTATGTGTCCGTAGTGATGGAGCCACCAGGAAAGTCTCTGTAAACCTGGTGACTCCATCCTGTCAAGGGAAGTCTTTTGAGTGCTTTATTGAGTTAATACTGGCATTGCCAAAAGATTAACGGCAAAGATTGTTTCCTGTATGAGAATTTAAAAATGAAGACAACTGAGCAAGATTTTTTTTTTTAGCTCTGTAAGATTAGTCTCACTTAGAAAAAGAAAAAAAGCAATATTAGTATCAGAAAAATGGCCCAGTGCTTTCTGAAAACTGAATTCTAACATAGTCTGCCTGAAGTAGAGAACAAACCATTTGTGGGGAGTGGTTTAGAAACCTCAACACTTCTTCTAAGAAGAAGTGGTGTCGGAGTAGAGAAATTTTAGAATTCCATAATACACTTCAATTCTAATTTATCACCAAATGTGATACATATTTGGGTGGGTAGCATTTAGTTGGTGGAAGAGTAAACCTGTAAAAATGCTAAAATTAAAGTACCAGAAGACTTTTCTTTGTGCCATATCTGTGTGTCAGTGTTTGTGTGTGTATCCCTGCTCATTGTTGGTGTCATTAACATCCAGAGTATAATTGGGCACCTTTCTATTCAACAGAAAGCTCTTTAAACAAATTTGCCATTTTCCTGTTGATTCTTGAAAGGAAACCAATGCTTTTTTTTCCTGTGGACTAAACTGTGTGATAAGCCTAAATCTGTTGGCCACAATCCTCCCATCCTATGATAGCTAACACCTGAAAGTGCAACATAAGGCAGAAACTTGCTACATTTGGTGTCCCTGTAGGATGGGCAAATGTTCCTGTGTTAAATGATGCTGACAAAAATGGATCTGGGCTGGAGTCTCTGCAGAGGCCCTGTCCTTGTTCACAGAGAGGCCTCATACTCAGCCGACTTCAAGCAATCTCTGCCAGCAACCCAGTGCTGGCTGAAAAGCAGCAGTGGTCTATTAGGGTTATAATCCTCCTGCTTGGGTGAACCTAAGAGGAAACACTGCTTGATTTAATTTGTTGTTTCAATGAGGCTATTATAGAAAATACCCTTTACCCAGCTACTCGAACAGAAATAAAATATTGTTACCTTAACGTGCTCAAGAAAATATTACTCTCCAATTGTTTTATGGTAGTCTTGTAATGTAGCTGAGTTCATGTTCTATCAACAATTATAATAAAAAAAGGACTGGATAAAACGCACCCATTTAAAGCCCTTGCATTTAGACAGCTCAAGCAAAATAGCAGATTCAGAGTCCTCTGACTTGTACTTACCTGTTCATTTATTTCCTCTCTCTTGTATTTTATTCACTGTTCAGCTTAAGCAGTGGGTGACTCACTAAAACAGGACATCTCTTGCCAATGTGAAACCTAAACAAACACCTTCTTCTTCCCTAACTCATTGTACAAAATTGGACAAATTTTCAGGTCTACACACTTTTTCAGCCCAAAATCTAATAAATTAAACCAGAAAGTAAGTGGTGTTTAAAAATCTCCTTTAGGATTCACTGCAACTGATTATATTTGTTTCTTTAAATAAAAGATAATGTCCCTTTATAGACCATAAAATGTTCTGTCTACACATTAATATATTAAATAAGAATTAAATGAAATTACCATAATGAAGTGACAGGACAGTATATAGAATGACTTCATTCTCTAAGCATTTTCTTCTGGATATCACTTCTCTTTTTAAAAAATGAGATTTTCATTTCAAAACCCTAGTCCATTACTTAGTGTTAAACATAAAACATCAAGTTATTGGATAATAAGTTAATACTTATAATGTTGAAATATCATAGGCAAATTAAGGAGAAAACAGTTATTTAGCAATAAGTTAGGGTTAGTTAATATAGAACTTCTTATCACTATTGAGCTTAAGAATATGGATGACTGGCTATTTTTTGATAATAGTAATAAAGTTTCTATTTGGAAATACTAAGATTAGTTTTTGTTTTGTTTTGTATGGTTCTGGGGCCTTGCAAATGATTGTCAAGTGCTCTACCACTGAGCTATAGCCTCCAGCCCTTTGAGAGTAATTTTTTAACAATGATGATCTAACATATCAAATTATTAATGTTACTGGTCTTGATTACCTTCAGAAAGAAAAAAACGACTTAAAAAACAAATCAGAAACATTTTTAAATGCAAGCCCTTGTCTTGGTTTAGGTGATAAAACTCCAGATCACTTTATGGGAGTTGTAAATCCAAGCCAGCCTCTGCCTCAGGGGAGACTCTGACTTAACCAGAGTCCTCTTCATGGACACTTCTCTGTGATGGGGTGCATAATGATTTTAATTTACTTAATCCCTTTGCAGCGATACTGAGGAGAGTGACCAAGGCTGACTCCTGTTTTAGTTGGCTGTGATAGTGATTAGGAATTATCAGACAGTGATAGTCCTTTGAAGAACTGTAGTGCTCAATGACTGTCCCTACTGTTTCCTTGTGCCTGGTGTTTATGTGTCCAGATCTGTTTGTTTCTTTGTCTGAGTTGAAAAGCTTTCATCTACTTAAGCATCATTAGTCACGGCCCTGTAATTGTCTTCATCTCAGGGACCATGGCTCCCTTTATCAGTGAAATAATGTCTCTTCTTCCTCCCCTCTCTGCAGTTCCAGATTACCAGGAACAAGACATCTTCCTCTGGAGAAAAGAGACCGGATTTGGATTTAGGATTCTGGGTGGAAATGAGCCAGGGGAACCTGTGAGTCTTTTTTGTGCTTCTCTCCCCAGTGCTGTTTTCTAAGACTTCAAAGCAGTGATAGATCACCAAGATTATAGTCTAGCTAGGTGCAGCACTGACTCTTTCATCCTGAGCAGTGTGGGCTTCTGTGGAGCCCCTTTGGTCTTGAGCAAAAAGGGATGAGATCCCTTCTAAAGTTTGTATTGTGAGCTGTAGCCTCTGAAGACCACCCCCCAATAAGAAAAAGGAAAAGAAAAGGCAAAGTGGCGTGATCATCAACTAATACAATGATCTAAGCCCTGTGGCCACTTCTGTTCTATCTGCAGCAGGTTGTGGGCTTTGTATATTAAGTAACTAGTACAGAGAGGATTTTGCCAGGCAGCATAGAGATTCGAGAAAGTAGCATTCCTGTATTTACAAAAGTAGAGAAAGAACCCTGAACGAGGGTCAGAACACATTGAACTTCATCCGAGCCTCATTTTCCTTAGCTGGAGAATAAATTCAATATAACATTGCAGGTTCTTTTGAAAGGAGGAAAGACTACAAAGATAAGTGTCATTGATTCCCTTGTGATAATAATAGCTATTATTTACTGAGCACTTACTTTGGACCTGGCACTATGCTAAAGGCTTTAAGCACACGTTCTTTCATTTATTCTTCAAATCTGTGAGCTTTTCCCCATTTTTTAGATCAGAAAATAGACACAGAAAGACTAACTTACCCAAGATCACGTAGCCAATAAATGAAGGCATTGACAAGGTGTCAACTCCGGCGTCCTTCATATTCTTAGACATTGTTTCCTCAAAGTTCCTTATAAACTATAAATGTCACGTAAAGGTGATTGTAACATTATTATCTACTGAGAAGGCAAGACACATGCAAATATTTAAGCTCAAGTTCAGTAAATGGCAAATAGACACTAAATAGAAAGATTCTCCTTGCAGGTGCTAATAGACTGCAGAACTGGGGATGTCAAGCCAGGTTTTGCTTCGTGCATTCACTCATGTTCTATTTACTGATCATGCCCTATTTCTGGACTCTCAAAGAAAAGTAACATTAATACTATAATTAGCTAGTTTAATGAAAGGAGGGATCTTACGTAAAGAGGAAAGGAGAAACAATCTTAGAATCTTCTCTGCAGAAGAGAAAAAGATAGAGTCATCAGTAGATTACAGTTCAACATCAAGGAAGCTAGCAAGAAATAGCTGTTCTTTCTGCTGTTCAAAAAATTGTTACAGCCCTCATATAATGCCTTGTACATAGTGGGTGCTTAATAAATGTTTACGGCATTGCATGTAGACACGAATGAATGAATTGAATCGAATTATTCCCAGAGATACCGAAGCCATGAGTACAGTAATAAACCAAGAGGGCAATGTTTCATCCATCATCCGATTACTCAACAGATTTATATTGGTCACATTGTACCACTGGGTGCTGCTGATACGGATGGCCGCCTGAGGTCTGGTGATGAATTAATCTGTGTAGACGGGACACCAGTAATTGGAAAATCACACCAACTTGTGGTCCAGCTTATGCAACAAGCTGCCAAGCAAGGCCACGTCAATCTCACAGTGCGGCGTAAAGTGGTGTTTGCTGGTATGTCTTTCATTCATTCCTTCGGATGGTGCACTGTCACTTTTATGTCTGCCTCCTCAAGCTTCTATTTTAGCAAATGTTTGCAAATGTGATCAAGCTCAGAATTTCCAGATGGTTTGCTTCTCTCCAACCCTGCAAAACTGCTGTCATTCAGAAGTACTTTAATGTGTAATTTGCATATGTTCAGCAAAGGCTTCTAGAAGAAGGCTAGTTGAACTTAGACATCCTCCTTTATTTGAGATAATCCTCAAGAAAAGAGGTTATTAGGAGTGTCAGAAAAGTTGTAGCCTCAAATTAAGAGGACAGAAAATTAGATTTTACTGCAAAATATACTAAAAAAAGTTAGTGTTACCGTACATAGCTCATTGTTGCTTGTTATGTGTATGAAATCAGGCTCTAATTTTTCTTTCTGCGAGAAAGCAGCAGAGCTGGCCAGGTGTAGGTCATCTCTGATTCCCTCCTCCTGTCCTTAAGTGTCAGACTCTGGATCTCAAAATACTACGTATCTTCCCAAAAGAACCTTCCTCCAAATGCCTTCGATTTTGACATTCCCTCTGTGTCATTGTTGTGACTCACAGCTTGCTTCTCTATCAGAATTTGCCATTTGAGACCACTTATCATGTGCACGTCTGGCCTGTCCACTGGCTTGCCAACTTCCTGAAAGCAGACACCTTAATTACCCACCTTCCTATTCAGCCCCCACCTCAAAGCCTCTCAGACAGAATGCAGAAGATGATGAAGTGTTGTAGAAATTGAATTCCTAAAGAAATGTGACATGAAATAGTATGAATTCCCCTATAGCATTAATATTAGTATAACAAATACCTAGCAGATAAAATTAATTGGTACCTTTTTAAAAAAAAAAACTAACTCATTGTAAGTGGTATATAATTAATTGCAGAATTAAGATATCAAAAACCAGTATGAGAGCCCTAACTACCATAGCCATGGAAAGCGGTGCTGATCAGCTAATCATTCATGGCCCCCAAAAGTCCTTTTTGACCATAATATCCCATGCAACCAATGGCAGTCAGTGATAATTGGTTTTTGAGATGAATTGAAAACTATTTGACTTCCCTGGCTCAAATAAATAAGAGGACAGTGTCATTTTTTCATTTGTTTCAGTTTTACTTTTAAAACCTTAAATACTTTAGATTTCTTTTATCTCTGTGTAAATGGCTATAAGAGACATTACTCTAAGTGAAATAAGCTGATCACAGAAAGGACAAATTTATATCTGTGTACCTTTTGTGAGGTATGTAAAGGAGTCAGATTCATACAAGCAAATAGGTAGAATGGTGATAGGGAAGGTTGTGGGGGGATGGGAAGTAGTTATGTAATGGGGACAGAGTTTTAGTTGGGGAAGATGACAAAGTCCTCTTATGTAGACTCTTTAGGAGTGCTTTCCCCTGTCAGCTGACAAAGCAGTACAACTGGCATGATGCCTAAGCCAGGAAGGAGCTGGTGCCTCTAGTTCTGAGATTAGAGTAGATGCTGACATCTGGAAGGTAGAAACAGAAGCTACTCGTGCCTCTCACAGGTGTCCTGAATCCCACGTAGATCAGTCTTAAAGGGTGCAGTTAACTTAGGGTCTCCTGCCTGATGAAAAATGCGAAATCTGAGCAGAAATGCGGCTGGGAAGTAATGACAGTATGAACGTGCAGCTAAGGCTGTGTCCGAGAAACCAAGGTGGTGGCTGTCATTGGCATGCCCCACATCCATGCTTTGTGTAGGTTCTCATCTGTGCCATGGGGAAATATTTCAGAGTGGGCTGGTCCTGCTGCAAACTTGGTTGTTGATAGTTAACAGTATGCTGTCATTATCCACTAAGTATTTGGAGCCCACCTCAGTGTTTTCCTGGGTCAGTGCTCCTGATACTGTCTAGTCAACCCAGGCCAGATGCCATGTCCCTTTGCTAATCCCTTGGTTTCTGGCAGGAAGTGGAGGTGAGGGAAGTAGAAGGGGGTGGCAGCATGCCTTTCCTGGTGAGGTCAAGTGGCTTAGATGTACATCTCTATTGCAGTGCCCAAGACAGAGAACGAGGTGCCCTCTCCTGCCTCATCACACCACAGCAGCACCCAGCCAGCCTCACTGACAGAAGAGAAGCGCACACCGCAGGGTAGCCAGAACTCGCTGAACACGGTGAGCTCAGGCAGTGGCAGCACAAGTGGCATCGGGAGTGGTGGTGGCGGTGGCAGCGGCGTGGTGAGCACCGTGGTGCAGCCCTATGATGTGGAGATCCGGCGTGGGGAGAATGAGGGCTTCGGCTTTGTCATTGTGTCCTCAGTGAGCAGGCCTGAAGCAGGCACGACTTTCGGTGAGTGCTGGAAAAGATTGAGCCCAGGCTTGCCTACCCTGCCAAGGGTGTGTTCTCTTGCCAGAGAAAGACAGCCAAGATCTCATTAACAGAAATGCTTTAATGCTTTTTTTTGCTTTGGGTGATTAAAGTCTTAATTGGGGATGGAGTTTATTTGGTAGTTTTTTGCTTTCTGAAGGACTGGGAATATTTTTTTAACCCTTTCAGCTTTCATTCCAAATGTGTGGTCATACACATAGCTTCAAGCATGAAATTTGAATAGCAAGCCCTTGACAACATAAAATATCAGAAATTTTTATCAGAGAAAGACTTTGGAAAGGTCTTGATTAGGGTATCATTAATAATCAATGCCCTCAGAAAGTCATACGAGCTTTAAAAAGAATATAAGGCTTTTTTGTTTAAGTCCTAGGAAAAATAGAGGTGTAAGGAGAAATATGGCATGAGACGTGTTATCCACCTCTTCTGTGTCCTTCCTCTGTCCCTATCTGAATGTTTTTTAATTTTAGGTAATATTTTTATTGTACCTAAAAATCTGGTTAAAATCTGAGTTAGGAGCCATCTGATTTTAGGTCTTATTCCGAGCTTGGGGGTGACAGCCAAGTGTGGAGAAGTGCAGTTGTCAGCCTCTCCAAAGCTTAACTGTCTGCTGGATGTATGAGCACAGACATACAGGTGATTCCAAGAGCCAGTCATAGGAATCTGTTTCCCATTAAAATGAACTTTAGATGTACACTCCACAAGTGATCTACCTTCCCAATTAGATAAAAAGTCCTTTGCCATATCCCAAGCACATTCATTAATAAAGAATGTGATGGAAGGAGAGAACCTGTGCTGGCTTTGATGTGACAAAGGACTTGACCACATGGAGTCTGATGACCAGTGGCCTAGGTCACCCACTAGTTAGGATCAGCAAAGCGCTATATCCCTTTAGTGTTCTGACTCCATAGAACCAACCCACTCTGTCTCCATTTAGTCTTGGTAAGTTGCTTCCTGTCCAAGTTGTCTTCCCCCTAAGTTTTATGTTTGGAAGAGGAAACTTAGGCAGGTCTATGCATGTGTGGCTGCAGTAACAAACACCCATTACTAACCATGCTTTTGTGAGCTATATTAATGAAGTCATCACAGCATGTCCTAGATGGATGACCTGACACCAAAGCCAGGGGTTTTTGTTTGTGTGTTTTGTTTTGCTTTTTAATTAACTTCAGAGACCTTTGTGCTTACTTTAAAAAGAGAAAGAAAGAGGGGAAGAAGAAATCCCGAGGTTTTTCAGAGCTATAATTTGACTATCCCTATGTAGCTTGTAATACTCTTAGGTATTTCAGAATTCTTACTTTCAGTTTCTAGAAAAAAAAAAAAGTAGGTATGTCAGGTGGCAGCCAATGTGTTATGTAATGAATGTTGAATGTTTTCACTCACAATTTGATTGTTTTCCTTTGGTTCTTACAATCAACAAATTAAACTTTCCCTAATACCTTGCATGAGACTTCTGAACTATGCAAAACTTTCTTCATGCCTGCTGTGTTAGACCTTTGTCATTCCAGTTGTCCTGGGACACAAGCTTAACTTAGTCAAGACCTTGAATTCGAGGATGCCCACTTTCCACTATATCCCCTTGTTGGATTCCAATAGACAGTTCACTCTCTTTGTAAAAGTTCTTTGACCTTGGTGTTACATCCAATGAAACAAACTCAGGCAACTATGCTAATTCAGAGGAATTAAAGTACATTTCCTCATCCATCTTACCCTTCAGGTCTAAATTATAATAGCAGAGCCTACTGAGTTGGTTTCATTGTCTCCCATGTTAATTTTGTCACCCAAAGGTAGCTTCAACTAAATAACTATCTTCCTACTTCCCAGAAAGACAAATTCTCAAAATAGGTGAATGAACATAAGAAACATTGAAGCCTAGAAACCTCATGTCAGGCCTCAAATCTCATTATGGATGTGCATTAACTGTTGAAAATAAAGGAGATGATTTAAGGAAAATGGTTGAGGAATGGCCTGAGCCTAGTTTTGGATCAATGGCCTCAGCCCGAGTAGGTACTAGACTTTCATATTCCTTTGAGGGGATTTTTGTGGGGCAGGAAGATTTCAGAACTGATGAGCCTACAAGAGCCTATCCTGAAAGCATATGAGATGGGTTGATTGAGCAAAGATCCTTCAAGGAAAAAGAAGTGTCCAGAATGGGGGCTTAGTTGGCTCAGCTCTTATATTTAGGCCCATTTTTTTGTTTGTTTGTTCATTTTTTGGTGATGCTTTCACCATTCTGAATAGAAGGAAGAAAGTGGTGCTCCATTGGGTGTTTTCAGATTGAACTATTGATGCTAGAAAACTCATAGGCCTCACTCAGAAGCCTAGCAATTCTTTATCTAAATGGAGAAAGAACAAAACATTGGCAGAAGCTTAAACAACAGTTGGCAAAAGTGAAGTGACACTAACACAGAATGAGTAAAAGCATCCATCTCGGCTCTGGGTTTTACATTTGCAGTCCCAAAATAAGCCAACAATAAGCTATTTTGAGGCTCTCAAGATTTCTTGAACGTGCCAAGTATCCCATATTTTGTAATTGTTTTAAGGAGGGAAGAAGGGATTTCCCCCTCATTTTAAATCAGAAAAGGGCTGAAGCCAAGAACCCTAGTTTCAGGTCATTGATGTTAGATACCCCGAGTATTGCCATCGTTTTGACCATCGGCACAGAGCTCTCCTTTAATAACATTTGCTTAATGCTTTAATTAATTAACACTTAACCTTCTCTTTCCCTTTTCAACCCTTTTTCTCCTCCCTTCACTATATTCCCACGTAACTTAAAAAAAACTAAAACTCAATATCAAAGCAGGCAATGCATGTGTGGCTATGCCTCACAAAATAGGTCGGATTATTGAGGGGAGCCCTGCTGACCGCTGTGGCAAGCTGAAAGTAGGAGACCGGATCTTGGCAGTAAATGGATGTTCCATCACCAACAAATCCCATTCAGACATTGTCAACTTAATCAAGGAAGCAGGAAATACAGTTACCCTCCGCATCATTCCTGGGGATGGTAAAGTATACCTATTATCTATCTCTCTCCCTCTCCTCTCCTTTTGTCTCCTTTCCTCTCTTCTCTCTCTTCTCTCTCTCCTCTCTCCTCTTCTCTCTTTTCTTTTCTCTCTTCTCTCTCTCTCTCTCTTTCTTATTAGTGTCCATGTAATTAAATATTGTTGAATTACAGGCAGCTTTATTCATCTCTAACTGAACATACCTATCCAACAAACATGAGCCACTGTTACTAAACCATTCCTTACCCACTTAATCCTCTAGCCCTATGACCTTTTTTTTTGATACAGATATAAAAATTCCAGAACGTCTCCAACTTTTTTTTGGTAGCTTGTTTTTGCTGTCCTTGTCTTCAAAACTGTAGGATAGTTTTAATACAGGTAGTAAAAATCCCCTGAAGTCATTAGTGATTTTTTTAAGCAATCTCTAAAATTTAGTAATGTAACTGGTGACATTATAAAACCTAAAACCTACCTAATGGCAACAGAGAGTCAATACTACTTTTTTTCAGAGTAAGTGACTATATCAAAGTTTTTTATTCAACGAGAACATCTTAGGGCTTATGTCTACATGATTTGTCCCTAATTTTTAGATGTGGATGAAAGAAAAATTAAGTGTTTGTCTTTATATCTACATGAAACTGCACTATTCTTGTTTGCTTGACTGGTTAAATTCAAATCTTTGGTTCTTTTTCATCCCGTTGACTCAGTGACTTGTAGTGGGTGCCAAATAGCATCTAAGGGGTAAAAACCACGCGTCCTCCATGCACAGAATAGCCTCACAGTAAAAAGTTTCCCAGTGCAAAAAGATCAATGCTCATCTCATTATTCAGCTTTTATAAAAGTGAAGTTTGTATATGAACATCAGTAATTATAGATTGCTGGGAGACTCAAATCCTGAATATGGCCCTCATTCTAAGCCAACTTTGACAGGAAAGTAATACTTGTCCCAAAATGTTTAACTTTTTGTTTTCATTCTTTCCATACATGTTATAAGATAAAATATGTATTCTAAAAGTCAGTATTTCTCAAGAGGAAAATGTGAAAATAAGAAAATCCACATTTTATCTCAAAGTTATTCACCAAATGAATATTTTGTATACTAATGGTTAGAAAGTGAGTCTTATGGCTCCAAATTTAAGTGGTGTAGCTGTTGCTCTCCAGAAAAAAAGTAAATGTAAAACCAAATAGTACATATTTGAAAATTGCTCAAAGAACAGAGAACTTTCTGTGGGCCCAAAATATCCCATATCAATTACAGAGGGAAAAAAATAGCTCCTTGAATGATGGTCTATTTCACCCTCTTTCAAACTCATGGTTAGTAATTTACCATCTGGTATGGAATCCATTCTACCAATTTGCCACTCTGGAAAGCTATTACAGTTTACAAAAGTGATCACAGAAGATAAAACATGGATTCCTGATGGAAAGGATAAGGGAAGCCAGAAAAATGAACTGAAAAATGCTTCTGAGAACCAAAGATAATGTATAATTTTAGACATGTTTATCCACATGCCATGTAGAGTTGTTAAAAAATGAATCCAGTAGTAGAGGGGGTGAATTAGCTCAAAGGACATAATATACATGTATGGAAATACCACAATGAAACCCCTTTGTACAATTAACATACACTAATTTTAAAAAGAGAAAGAAAAATAAATTCAAAAGAACTGGACACAGAAATTGACTTTCTGGTTCTATATTGAACAGTCTTATTGTGGGAATGAGGATGGTCCAAAAAGGAAGGAAAAAGAGAAAGCACTCCTAAGCAAGAGCTTAGAGTTTTAAATTCAGGAAAGACATCATACATAGAAGCAAATTATACTACAGTGTGCGTACTAGATACTGACTTAATTTAATACTGTACAGAAAACCTGAACTCCAAAACATAAAATGCACAGTGAATTATCTGCTAGCAGATGGCAATGAAAGGCATTTTTAAAACTTCAGTAATTAAATAATGAAATTCAGGTAACTACCCCATGTCCTTTGATTAGATGACAGTAAGCATAAAGTTGACACAATATGTGAAGGATTGATACTTTCCTAAGGTGTCACATATTCTCCAGAGGATGTGATTTTTCTCCACAATATTTCATGAAATCATTGCCATGTTAATAAAACTCTTTGCCAGTGACTTTGTGCCAGGGACCAGGTAAAGGAAAGCATGTCTGGCAGAAGGTCAATGTATAATGTTCATCTTTTAAAAGAAACTGAAATTGACTTCTTGGAAATTAGAGGTGAGGCAGTACAGTTAGATTTCCAAAGAGATGCAGGAGTGATCCTGGAGAACTTTGCAAATAACTTAGAGGATAGCGAATAACCATTACAGTCTGGGTCTGTTTCCTCCACGGGTAAGTGTGTTGGACACGCTTGTAGAGTAAGGGGAGTGCTGTCTGGGTTAGGGACCTCTGGTCTCCTTTAGATCTTTCATTTTCATACTTAGTTTATCAAGTAGACCAACTTGTTTCATGGTATCTGTGAGGAGGCTGAAGTTCTTAACCACAGTGGCTCTAAGCTCTTAGGAGCTCTTAGGATACTGTTCTTGGAAACCCTAAAAGGCACTGGAAGACGATTCACCCTTATTTGGGCAGTGCTGAGAACTTCTTCTGAATCCACTTCCTCAAATTTTTGCTTTTTGTTGTTTCTGTTTGTTTGTTTTTTTTTTCTGGAGTCAGGGTCTCACTAGGTAGCTCAGGCTGGCATCAAACAAACAATCCTCCTGCGTGCTGGGATTACAGGTGTGTTCCACCACACCTTGCTGAATCCATTTCTTTAGCTTAGGCTGATAACTTTTTTCTTGTTACTGATGCCTTCTCCTTCCTCTACTTTCCCTTATCTCAGCCTTAGTTTCCCTCACTCTGTTTCCCCTTTCCCCTCTCACCTCTCCAATAATATTCCAAAGCACGACTATCCTTTACGTGGCATTACTCTGCTATTGGAAGGCCTACCTTTACAGATCTTGGACAGGCCAAGATTGGAAGAATCTCTACCTTTTATATGTTTGGGGTCAGGGTGGGAGGTAGGGTGGAAACCTTTTCTCTGAGGAGATCTGATCAGGGGATAGTAAATGCAAAATGGCAGCAAAATGGCCTAGAGAATAGCAGAAGATAATGAGTCTGAACTTAAACTTTGACATGTCAAACCACACTTGCATTGCATGGAAATGTCCGTTGCTTTCTAAGTGGGAGTAAGACTTTAATCAGACAGAGAAGAGCTTAACTGAGCCAGGCTAATGTGCAATCAAGTTGAAGATAACGAAAACATTTATGAGCTTAAAATATCTATTATTTAAATTGTGGTCTGAAAATTGTACTTCAGTTCACTCTGAGTCAAAGAATTTGATTATAGAGGATATGGAGCTGGGAAAACACAGATACCACTATTTCCCTGGCAAAGGCATAGAATAATAAGATGACTCCCAAAAGTTTTCACGTATTTGTGGGATTCAAATTTCCCAATGTTGTTTTCAGGTATTTATTACATATGTGTTTACACACTGAAATATTTATGAAAGAAATGATTGTATCCTTTGTTGATTTGCTTGGCTTTTCAGTGTAGATTCCATCCCAGAAGCTAAGGGTATTGACGTGGGAATGGGGTTAGAATTGTAATCACTTGTCTCAGAGATAGGTCAACACCAAGGTAAAGCCTCCTGTCAGAAGAATAAGTGCTTGACTTACAACAGCCTCCTGATAGTGCCTTGAGAGCTAGGATTTGCTTTTCTTGATACATGATTGCTACAAAAAGTATCATAATATCCATTTTCATTCCTCTGGGAGAGCTAAAGTAGATGTAAACACTATTTAATAAAGGATGTAGGGTACTTTCTAGAATTTGCCATAAGAATATCCAATCTGTACATCTTTCTTGGAGCTTTAAAACTCAAATACATTCACAGCCCCTTATAATATTGCTGCTGGAGGACAGAGAAACTCAGTCTGATTTCAGGCCCTTCTTTCATATTTTTTTATTATGCAAGGCAAATTTTGCTTTGGGGGATAGAGCTATAAATTTTTGATAAATGGGCTTCGTTACTATATTTTTAAAAGTTAGAGAGCATTTCAACAGATACGATCTTGGTTTCATTCCAGATGAAGGCTTAAAAGTTTGTAAAAACAAGTATACCTTTATTGATATTATGAAAGCGTACTGCAAATCAAGGGCATGCTAAAAATTATTTTGGTGCTCTGAACACGGCCCATAAAATCCAACAGGCAAAGCAGGGTATTTTGTATTTTAATTAATCTATGATACTGCTTAGTGAAGTTGGCGTTATCTATGTAGTAAAATAAAAACATTGCTTATTTGAAAGGAATCTACCAAATAGGTTTGGTTCTCCTGACACCAACACTTAATTCCCATGTAAATAAAATAAGACTAAAAGTGAACTTATTAGGCAGGCTGTGAGTTTAATTCCCAGCATCTCTACTTATTCTTAGATAATCTTGAACATGTTTACTTATCTTTTCTGTGCCTCAGTGTCTTCATCTGTAAACTGGGGTGGGAACTGCACCTGTCAAGTGGTAAGAATCCAGCGAAGTAGTGCATGTCATAAAGGACTAGCACTGTTTGCCTGGTGTTCTCTAAATAATAAGAATAACAATGAGCAAATGTTATTGAGCTGAAGTAAACATTTGAATATTGAATGATATTTTTTAAGTATTTATGCCTCTGAAATATTTAGATATAACTATGACTGGGAAAAGTAGAAAAGAATAGGTAAATTAATGAATGCATTCTGTTTCCATGTGTGTTGAGTGATTATCTATTACATGTCATCAGATCATTAAAGCAACAGAAATAAAAAAAAAACTGAGAATAAGAGTTCATCTGCCTAGAAAAGTCGGATTACCAATAATACAAAAAGTCTAAAGGGGAGCCTCTGTACAATTCAATAATTTTAATCACTTTAATTACAAGGCAACATTCTTTTTGATATTCTGATTATGATTTCCCCATGGCCCAAGCAATCTTGTGATTTCCCAGAGAGTCTCCATAAAATGAATTGCAGTGAGCTCTATGAAGTTTGTTAAAGGTCCAGTGCCTGTGTTTATGAAAGCTCTGATGAGTCATGTGGACAGACTGTACAGTCTCTCTGCCCCATGTATTGACATAGTGGATGTGCTTCATAAATATTGCTTACATTCATCACCTAGGTTCTGACAGTTAAGTCCTGCCCCAAGATGGTGGTGATATGAGAGTGCTAATGTCCCTCCAGAGGCTCTAAAAATCACATTGTAGTAGCATTAATGATACTCTTTTACTTACAGTGCTGGGGATGGAACCCAGGGTCTTATGTACACCAGGCAGACAAACTGCCAGTGAGCTACATGCCCAACCCAATAATATGCTTTTAATATAGTAGTATATATCAAAACTATGCTCATCCTTTTGAGCAATATTTATGTGTTAGGTGCTATCCTGAATACTTTCCTTTTAGATAAGCTTTGCACCAATTTCTTTAAGAGACTTTTGTTATTCCCCTTGTGCATTTGCGGAAACTGAGGCATTGAATGTTTAAGTAATTTGTGTAAGTCCCATCTAGTACACTGCAGAACCTTGGAATCAAGCCAAAATGGTCTGACTTTACAGTCTGACCTCTTAACTACTGGACTAATGTGCCTCCCAGTAAGCTTGAGAAGCAACGCCTCCTCCCCTCAGAGGGACTGAGGGCACATTGTCTCTGTAAAGGCTCTGAGGAATCCATGGGAACAACACAACAAACACCAATGGGAACATTCCCCTTTGCTTTACCCATTAGTTCCCAAATTTAACTGACCACAGGTTCCTTCCCCTCAATCTTCAGGCTCACTTGGTAAAATACATCGTGAGGAACATTGTCCTAAAAGTTGAATAGGATTCATAAGGCAATTCTCTTAAACTGTTAAAATCCTATTAACCTTCTCATCTTGCAAAGAGTTTAAATACAAAGTCACAATAGCAGCCAGGGCCAAAGCTGCAGTAAATGGGTATTTAATACATGTCAGGCACCTAACTAAAATACTTCATATCCTTTCATCCAAGAGAAGGGAATTACTGTCATTATCGCCTTTTGCCGTATAAGAAAAATAAGGCACACAGCTGATGGGTAGGGAAAAAAAGGGATTTGAATCTGGGTCTGAATCTCAAACCCATGCTTTTAACCACTGTGGGTAATGAAAATAAAATAATTGGAAGCCATACTCAAGCTGAGTAATATCCTTGGGAAATTAAAATGGAAGATAGACCACAAACAATTGGGATATGTGGGGTGTCTTTTGTCCCAAAACTGCAGTGCAAGGAAATATATTCCAGGTTTCTCAATTTGGAATACTTAAAATATTTTCCCATAGAAACCTTGTCATGCCTGGTGGGTAGATATATGTCTTTAGCAAACATTAAATTGCTTACTGTGAATCATAGGACTCATGGGAACTTCTAGACTTCAAGGTGCACTATGAATTAAATGGGCACTTACAGGCTAATCTTAGAACGCTACACCACCGTTAGCAATTTCTTGATTAGAAAATGAACACCAAGTTCCAAAGAGTCAACTTAAAAATAAATATTAAAAGTACAACTTGCTTATGGTTGGCTCTGCCTGCCTTTGATCATAATGAAGAAATAATTACTAGAAAAGTATATAACCATTATTATATGAACGATTAAATTTTAACACTTGCATGTGGGCATGCAGTTATACTCATGCATATATTCAGATTCTGAGTCTCCAGACTTCTAGAGATTAATGAAGTTGCCTATGGATGTGATTAGTGGAGAAGAAAAGTCAATTTACATAGGGATGTAATCATATTCATTACATTAAGGTAGGCTCTTGATTTATACAACTTGTATTTACAAACTCTGGTTCATCTAATGCAAGTTTAAAATTAATCTTTCATGAGTGGTGCTAGATGAGATCTGTCAAGAGTTACATATTTTCAGTTGGGCTTCGTTAAAAGTAGTAGAGAAGAAAGTGAATATCACTTGTATGTGTTTAACAACATGTTAGCATACTTCTGATTTTAATATTCACATGAGGAAATCAAGCAGACTCACTAAATACTGCTGATAAATTGCAGGAAATGTTAGCAGAGACATTTGTTATCAATCTGTAAAATTCTGAAGGATAGCTCTAGTGTGTGTAGTGCTTGGATGGGACTGCCAACCTGCAGAGGGAGGGGAGGAGTGAGATGCACCTGCATTGGCTGTCGTTTGAGAGCAGCATTTCCTTTGGCAAACTGTTGGATTTGTGGTGATGTCTGGTGGGGAGGAGGGTAATAGGGGCATCCATGGCCCAAAACAAAGATCTCAAAATGTTTCATTAAATTCCTGGGTATTTGAAATTGGGGAGAAGTCAGACTTGTCATTTAGATCCAGGGCTTCTGTGTGCCTCCCAGTTAGGCAGTGTCTTCTCTAAGGCCTTCATTTCTTTATGCTCTGTCCTACAGAGTCCTCGAATGCCACCTTGCTGACCAATGCTGAGAAGATTGCCACCATCACCACCACACATGCCCCTTCTCAGCCGGGGGCCCAGGAGACAAGGTCAGATATAGCTTGCGTTTCTTTTGTTAGTTTAAAGGGAAATAAAGTAACTCCTGGCATGATAATACAAGTCTTTGATTCTCAGTTCCCCTTGGGTTACTGTTATATTTATTTCTTTCACTTTGGCAGGAACACCTCCAAACCAAAGCCGGAATCTCAGTTCGAGTTCAAAGCACCCCAGGCTACACAGGTGAAGGCCCTTTCTCCTTTTCTTTCCCATATTTCTTGCTCATGTCCTTCCAACTTTTTGAAGCTATTTTTGTAAGATATTGTTTAAAGGCATCCTTAATTTAAAATAACCTTTTGTAAGATGATTGACTCACATTTGGTTGTCTGGAAATGATATCTTTATTTTACTACATTTGAAAAAATAATTCCTAAACATTCTTTTCTAGGGGGAAAACAAAATAAAAGCTATCACAAGGATAAGTTACCAAAGAAAAAGCAAAGCAGCTAATGTCTATCTTCTCATAGTTTTCTTTTTTTTTTTTAATTTTTTTTTATTCATATGTGCATACAATGTTTAGGTCATTTCTCTCCCCCTTCCCCTCACCCCCTCTCTTACCCCCCCCAACTCCCACCCTTATCCCCCATTACCCCTCACTACCAGGCAGAAACTATTCTGCCCTTATCTCTAATTTTATTGATGAGAGAGTATAAGCAATAAGAGGAAGGACCAAGGGTTTTGCTAGTTGAGATAAGGATAGCTATACAGGGAGTTGACATGCATTGATTTCCTGTACATGTGTGTTACCTTCTAAGTTAATTCTTCTCGAACTAACCTTTTCTCTAGTTCCTGGTCCCCTTCTCCTATTGGCCTCAGTTGCTTTAAAGTATCTGCTTTAGTTTCTCTGCGTTGAGGACAACAAATGCTAGCTAGTTTTTTAGGTGTCTTACCTATCCTCACCCCTCCCTTGTGTGCTCTCGCTTTTATCATGTGCTCATAGTCCAATCCCCTTGTTGTGTTTGCCCTTGATCTAATGTCCACATATGAGGGAGAACATACGATTTTTGGTCCTTGGGCCAGGCTAACCTCACTCAGAATGATGTTCTCCAGTTCCATCCATTTACCAGCGAATGATAACATTTCGTTCTTCTTCATGGCTGCATAAAATTCCATTGTGTAAATACCACATTTTTTTAATCCAAAGAACTATTTCTGCCAAGAAAATACCTTTTTGGGGTTTTTTTGGTCATGTATTTCTCTTGGGCTTGTGAATTTCAGGTGAAGCTCATAGAGCAAGATACCTGTCCCTCAGGATGATAACAGAGGGTACACAATTAATACCCAGAGAAACAAATGTGAGAAATATTGGATGATGGGAAGTTAAATAAATTTCTTTTTTATTCCCCTCTTGGAGCCTTCAGTAGTCCATTCATGGTTTTTCCTCAGTGGAATAGGAACTTCTCCCCAGATTGGGGGGTGTGATGGGATTGGGCACTGCTAACGTTTATCAAATATGGGCAAAGGAAGCTGAACGCGTAGCAATGAGTGGTAGTATCATGTAATGAATTTCTCTTTCCCAAATTCAAATTGCGAGGGCTGAGGATGTAGCTCAGTGGTTGAGTGTTTGCCTAGCATGCATGAGACCCTGGGTTCAATTCCCAATACCAAAAAAAAAAAAAAAAGTTCTTACATCAAATTGCAGCCCTACCAGCTGAATTTTAACACAGATGATACAGTACATACATGCCTTTACGTAGGCATGCTTGTGAATATTTTCAAATTCTGGATTTCCAACTTCTGAGATGAATAAAGCAAAATAAAGATGATTAATAAATATTTAAGAGTCACCAAGAGGGAGATAGAAACTGTGCCTTTTTTGTGAAGTTAACATAATAAGAGAATGTTTGGGTAGAGCTGAGGAGAAATATGTGGATGGAAGTTATCCCAGAATGATTGCATTTAATTTCTTTAAATAGGAACAAGATTTTTACACTGTGGAACTGGAAAGAGGAGCCAAGGGATTTGGCTTTAGTCTTCGAGGGGGTCGAGAGTATAACATGGACCTCTATGTTCTGCGCTTAGCAGAGGATGGTCCTGCGGAAAGGTGTGGAAAGATGAGGGTAAGTCAGGAAAGGAGGCTGGAGTAGATGTAAGTAAACCTTCAACAGTCACTTGATATCCATGGTTAGAACATTCGTGTTTAAGAAAATTATATTTTCTATGGCTTTCAAGACACTATAAATGCATGACTCCTGCCCTACTCTACTATCTATTTCTTCCTTACGCATAATTAGTTATAGCTGCTGAAGTTAGGCGACTCTTTGGGGTTGAGTGAAGGATTAAAATTACTAACAAATGCACTAAAGTAGGTATTTTCTGAATGTCATTTCCATCGTTCTTGTGCTTAACTGCATGTGGCAGGCACATGATGTCACAAGAATTCCTGGGTGCTGCAGGATGCTTAGAGAGCAGGAGAGCCATGTGGCCCTGGGAGATTCTGGGTGGTGAGCCCCATTCATTCTCTAGCTAGTCACCAGCTTTCTTCCTCCAGCCCTCTACTTCAGCACAGGGTCTCCAACTCCGTAGCATTGATACTCAAGGGTGTTCTATAGTGATCAAAGATGCAGATTTTAACTGTATGCATGCCAAAAGGTCACTCTACTCTGTTTAGTGCCTAACATCTGATACTATGGAAAAATGTGTCACTCTCCTGCACAGATTAGATCATTGGGAAAAGGTAAATCATCTCATTGTAGATAAGTCACATAGATTGAGATGTGTGCATGGGGAGCCATTTGCAACAAATTAAAGAAATCAAGTCAGGAAAGAAAATTGAAATAAATTGGGCCTGAGCTGCATGAGGAAAAACTGACCAAGAATGAGGAACTCAAGACTGTACTTGCACATAAAGCACAATTTTGGTTCTGAAGTATCTTCAGACTGAAGTTTTAACAAGTTTTTCTTGATTGAGAAAGTGGAGCATTAGTGTGGTTTCAGATAATTAAACTGTGAAAAATGGTGCATACATGTAAAAATACGATTTCCAGAATCAAACAGTAGACCCGCTTCTTCTGTATCCTTCCCTTTGCATACCAGTGTATAATTTGTGCAAATACAAGGGAAGATGCATAGTGATTGTGTATACATGCTCCTTTTGTTTGAGTTTTAATCATTTAAAAAGTTTGTGATTGAATGTAGTATCATTATTGTGATAACTTTATATAATGGTTCATATCACACTCACCCAGTGTCCTTGCACCTTGGTAGGTGTGGTGTGTTTTGCATTTCTTTCTACAGATGAGGATGTGGACTACGGGAAGTTGAAGCAATATCATTTAGTGAATAAGAGATAAGACTCAGATTAATGACTTTAGATTCCATAGCCAGTGCTTGTCCTCTTTGTTCTGGAATATAAACTCTGTGTGAGCAGTATTCTAGTCACTTTTGTTCAGTAAATGCTACAGTCATTGTGCTCACCACCATCGTGATCTCTGCTGAAGGCTCACCTGTAGAAGGGGTTTCTTCTAAACAACTCATATGGTGATTTGGAACTCAGCAGAACTCAGTGCTACGGGGACATCAGCTGTAGCCCTCCCTCATTTTCTTATCATGGTACTCCATAGAGCAGTGTGTTCACTCAGCTGTCCCTGGGACAAAAGGCTGAGAAAAATGAACTTAAAAAGAGGAAAGGTGTATTTTGACTCATAGTTTCAAAAGATTCAATCCATGCTCAGTTAGTTTCATTGTTGTTGGTGAGACAGACCATCATGGGGGGAGCAAAACTGCTTACCTCATGGAAGCTAAGAAGCAAAAGATGAAGAGAAGAAAGGGATGGGTTCCCAATATCTCCTTCTAGGACACCCCCCCCCCAACAATGACCTAACTTCCTTCTACTAGGCTCAACCCCCTAAACCTTCCACCATCTTCCAGTAGCAGTGTAGGTTGGGGAGCCAAACCTTTTAATTAAGCACAAGGGTCTTTGGTGGGGGAACACTTTGAAACTAGCAGGCAACATACAACATACATCAGTGAGAGCAAATGATAGAAGAAATGAGGCAAGTAAGAAGCCAAAGTGTTTTGTAACTTTATCTTTGACCTGACATCCTAATATGTTTGCTATATTCTTTTGGCGTAAAGTGAGTCGCTAGGTCTAGGCCACATTCAAAGGAAACAGGATTACACATAGATGTGACTTCAAGGAGACAGGGATCACTGGGAGTCATCCTGGAAGTATCTACCACATCCTCCTCCCCTCAGCAACTCATACTCCCCTTACTGCTTTTTTTTTTTTTTTCCTTTTGCACTTATTATTTAGCATACATGGATTTTCTAATTTCCTTACTGTCTTTCCCTCATTAGAATCCAGTCTCCATGAAGGTAGAGATTTCTGTTTGTTTTTTCTCACTGCTGCATCCTAAGCAATAGAAAACTTTCTGGAATATGTGTAATGAATATTTGATGAATCACTCAGTAGAAGAATCTTTAAAGGACCTCCTCATTTTGCTCTCTCTTGTCTTGACAGATTGGTGATGAAATTCTGGAGATTAATGGTGAGACCACAAAAAACATGAAGCATTCTCGGGCCATAGAACTGATTAAGAATGGTGGCCGCAGAGTTCGTCTGTTTCTGAGGCGGGGAGACGGCTCGGTCCCAGAATATGGTGGGTCAAACTATGAAAACATTCCTTCCTTCCCTGGCATGACTCCATGAATTTGTCTCCAGACGGCAGCAGGAAAGTCCTTTTTGTTTCCCCTATTCACCAGTGTCTTACCAGCCTCTCGCACCATGTGATTATTTGCCTCGCTTGTTCTGAAATCTCTACACATTTCATCCTTTTGCTTGCTTACGTGGACTGGGGCATGGCCTAAGACAAGATCTTGATAGCCCCCTTTCTGATAATCAGAGAGAACATTTTGTCTAGTCCGACCAAGAGCGAAGGAATGTTTGTTTGAACTGTGCCAAACTGTTTCTCAGCTCCAATTGTTAGCACAAAACGACTATATACTCCTTTTAAGAAGCAGGAAAGCAGGTTTCCTGAGTGATGTGTTGAGGCACAATATAAATATATATTTTTTCTTTTTTGGTTACTTGATGTCTTAAGAGGCGTAAAATTTCAAGATATTTGGGGGCTTTTCTCACCTCCTTTATGCTCTGTATACAATAATCCTCCATCTTTCCCACTGGTCTCTTACCCCTAGTCAGACCACCGGAGCCCACTACTATCAAATGAACAAAGAAAAAACTGTTGCTCTATTAGCCATATATTTTAAGTGATAAAGGATGAACTAGATTCCCAGTGCTCATCATGAGGGAAACAAGTTACTATACCTTTCCTGTGAGGAAAGCCAGGTTATTTGTAGCGTTCCTTTCCCATATCTTTAGACATGATTTGAGTAGACAGCAGTGATCCTTACATAGCTTAGCATTCTGATGGCAAGATATTGTATATTGTAATAATTATGTCCTATTTATTTGAGATTCTTGTTTAAAACTAAGTAAAAAACAAAAAAAGGAAACTATGCCCTAGATGTAGGGCTTTTTTTTCCCAACCAAAGGTCTACAAAAGTTTCTATAGAAACTGTGATTGAATAGTCCTCATATACATTGGTCCCCTTTATTCGGGATTTATCTGTTACCACCCTCTTTTCTGAAAGTCTCTCTGCACAATTCCCAGTTGTGTTTCGGACTTGATGAGCTGCTGACTTCAGACATAGCTCAAGGAGGAGAACAGCTCCTTTGAAGGGCAGCCTTCCCAGGTATTAGACGTTGGTACAGGTGTACAGTATGAGGGGTCTGAGTTAAGGCGGGGAGAGTATCAGACAAGGACCCTTTACACATGTCCAACCAGAGGGGAACACTGATGACAACATTCCGATGTCCTGGCTGTGCACTGTACTGAACTAACCTTAGGGGTATTGATGCCACTGAAACCGTGTAACATTGTCTCCCTTTTCTGTCTTCCCTATGCTTCTGTTGGATGTGATATTTCATTTGAGAGTCATCGTCAGTAACCTGTGTACCTTCTCCAAACCTGTGTCTTTGCACTGAGGATGAAAATCCAACACTAACAAATGTTCTTTGGGCTAAAAATAAAGATCATTTAAATATACGGTTTTCCAAGAAGGGTTGAACATGCCAGGGTTATGCTGCTGTACTGTTTCCATGTGTCATTTGGACTAAATCTCTCTAATTCTATTTATTGATTAGAGTCACAAATGGGTTACAATATGTTAAGTTCCAATATTTTTCTGACTTGATTGGAACCTGCTTCTCTGTGAGGCTATTTTTGTAATGAGTTTTTTGTACTTAATTTAACTGCCGTGGTCTTGGGGCGGGGGGTGGGGGGGTGGAAGGGAACTTTGTTCTTTTGTTGTTTATTGTTAATGCTCTCCTATGCCAGCCTGTCATTGTTGCAGTTGTTTGAGAAAACACAAAACAAAACAAAAAGCAAAAGGGTGCATCCTTTGTCTGGGTTCTCAAGTCATCTTAATGGCTGTCTAAAAACGTCACTGTTCCAATATACGGTCTCTGCAGCCTTATTTGAGTGTTGCCTTAGACTGTCTTGACTGGACGAATAAACTCTCTTTGCCCTATGTTAACAAATGCAGATTTTTTTTCTTTCTTCCTTGTTATAGGGATTCTAAATGTTCTACTTTTTCTCTTTCTCTCTTTCTCTTTCTCTCTGACTGTTCTTGGTGCTGGGCCCTCCCTTCTACAGCGATGATACCTCCTAATATCGCTGCATGTATGAGAAATGAAAAGCTCGGGGAGGCTTGCTTCTACCTAATGGGCCATAATCAAACTACGGTTTGTAGCTCAATCAATACTAGGTGTTTCTGTGCTGTGGCCTAATTTCCTCATTGCTTCTGCTTAGCTCTATTTTGATATGTTTGGCAATTCATTCTGAGCACCCTGCGTTCTTTGAATTGTAAGTACCCTGCTGACCCTGTTGAAGTGTTGCTCTCCCTTGTCTTAAAAGTAGGCGTAAGAATCCAAGTTAGAGTGACAGTAGTGATCTAAGTGCCCCCCCCCAGGTGTCAAAAGACTTTTTGTCTTCATCCTAGTAGGCCACCGAGAATTTTGAAAGAATGAGCTCGATATCATAGTTCTCTCACCTACGCAGAGAGTGCTTTGCTAGATAGTTAGAAGAGATAACTATCTCTTGCCAAGGTATCTCTTGGCAAACTACAATCCATGGGCCAAATCCTGTCCACAGTCTGTTTTTGTAAATAAAGTTTTATTGACACATAGCCATATCACATTTCTCTTATTTGCACCGTAAGGGCAGAATTGAATATTTGCAACAGGGACTGTTTGGTCCAAAATTTGATCCTTTAGAAAAACTTACAGGACCCTTGCTCTATACTGTATTCCTGCTTTTGTTAAAAGTCACCTTGGGTTTTGGGAGATCCTTCATGAAACATATTAAATTGCTTACCATTGATCTTGTTGCCTCATGAAAGATCTTTTAAGAACCCTGTTCTCCACAGTGCAGTATATCATTTCAGGTGCCAATAGCTTGGGTTTATAACTGCAACAAAGCATCCCTGCTTTGCAAAGAGCCCTCAAAAATTTAAGATGCTACCCAAAACATTTGCAGTGTCATTTCAGATAGTATAACAACAATAAATAGGAGTTGTCATGGGATGCCCTATTTTAATTTGCAGGATGCCTGATGGTGCACAAAGCAGTCCAGTGGCTCCGCAGTTCATAAATACCATTGCTTCATATGGCATAAGGAAAACGTACCTTTAAATTGAAGGATTTCATAAGCCCTAATCTCAGATGGGTACCTAAAAACCCTTCTTGCCCTCCCTTTTTTCTGTCAGAAAACTCTGAATTTTTAAGAAGAGCCCCTTATTTTTGAGTTTACACAAAAGTTGACAAAGTAGTTCAGTAATTTCAGTAATACGCACAAGTGTAGAAAGAGTAGTTTAATGGACCATGTCGCGTTTGCCAATCAGCATCCGGCCTGTGTGTTGCCTCCATAATCCCCTTTGCCCAACACCCTGTGTGGTTTTTTTTAAAGTGCAAGTACACTTTACATATAGTGAAATACGTAAGTCCGGTGTATCCAGTTTAATCACCACCCAGATGAGACACAGACTATTTCTACCTCCTGAAAGCTTCCCTCAAGCCCGTCCAGGTTACTGTCCTAGGTTACTTTTAAGCAAGTAAAAACAAGTGTTTTGTTGTTTTGTTTTTTAATGAAGGAATATGTGGGGGGAGGGGAGGAGGGAGAGGAAGAAGGGCTGGTGGGTGGGGAAGCAAGCACAAGGGATAGGTAATACGGGGAAGTTCTGATACTTCTAGAAAGATTATTTGGGTTGTGTTTTTAAATACCAGAACCACGACTAGTTCGATCAGTTCTCGAATCATGGATGTCTTGCGCATGGAGAACAGTCAGCTAGATATCGAAAGCCACAAATACTAGTTTTTAACCCCAAGTTGTAGCTGTACTGAGGTTAACCAGGATTCAGTTGGCTTTGATTCTGACTGCTCTGACAGTTGTCCGTTTGTCGTGACTAATGAGTCAAGTGCGGGCGGGAGCGGGGGCCAGAACCAAAAGATCCTTCTTACCAAACGGTTGCTCTCCTTTCTCTTCCCCCAGACCCCAGCAGCGACCGGAACGGCCCCTCCACCGGTGCACAAGGTGTTCCGGAAGTGAGGCCCGGGCCGCCCGACCGCCGGCCGCATCCATCATTGGAGTCCAGTTACCCACCCGATCGTCACAAATCATCACCACATGGGGAAAAGCGGGCACATGCGAAGGACGCAAAAGGCAGCAGAGAGTACAGCAGACAACCCAATGAACACCACACCTGGAATGGAACTTCTAGAAAAGCCGACAGCGGGGCATACCGACCCAAGGACCGGGCACCCGAGGGGGGACGGAGAGATGCGCAGCAGCCCGAGCGCCTGGAGACCAATGGCCCCAAGAGGAGGTCCCCGGAGAAGCGCCGGGAAGGCACCCGGAGCGCTGACAATACTTTGGAGAGGAGGGAGAAGCATGAGAAGAGAAGGGAGCCGTCTCCCGAGAGGAGGCGGGAACGGTCGCCCGGCCGGCGGCGCAGGTCCCTGGAGAGACTCCTGGAGCAGAGACGGTCCCCAGAGCGCAGGCGCGGGGCCTCCCCGGAGAGGAGAGCCAAGTCCAGCGACCGCAGGCGCGCCAGGTCCCCCGAGCGCCGGCGAGAGCGCTCCCTGGACCGAAGGAACCGGGAGGACCGAGCCGGCCACCACCGAGAGAGGGAAGAGGCCGGTGTGAAACAGGAGGCCGGCAGAAGTTCCAGAAATGCCCCTGAGCAGAGAAGGCGGCCTTACAAAGAATGTAGCACCGACCTCAGCATCTGAGACGCCAACCTTTACCGTGTCAAAGGTTCTAAGAGGAAGGTCACAAACCTGAAATCATTTAGTTTCTTACCTAATGAAGCATCTGACACCTGATGATCCTCTGAAGAGCAACGAACATTTTGTGCGTTTGAAATCTTATCAGAAAAAAAATATATATATGAAAAGTGTTGTGCCTGATGTATCATATTAAAGAAAGTATTTTTAAAATGCATACTTTTTTTGGAAGTTATTTGCCAAAATACTAGCCCAGAGGGATGTAGATTTTGTTTCTACATAAACTGTAGAATTGTCAAGAATTGTTCCCCTTTTTTGGGCAAACTTTTTTCTCTCCTGGTTAAATGGGGCTGTTGGTCATTTTCTCTAAGTAAGGGAAATTACTAAGTTTAATTAACTTGATGTAGACTGTTAAGTAGTGATGTAGTGCTATACTGTAGACAGGAGTTTTTCTTATAAGCAAAGAGCAAAAAGACAAACTTCTACTTGTAAAAACTGAGGACATTTTGGAATGAATTAGGATTGCCAGTGATCCTAAAATTAAGCAAACTGTATGACAAGACTACTATTACAAATGAAGGATATTTATAGCTAAACCGTGCAGCACAAAGAAATTATATGTTCTTGAGTTATAGTTTGTTCAAAAAAAAAGTTTGTACTCTCCCTGGCCCAGGAAGGCACAGAGACAAGAAGTCTGGCCGCCATTACCCAAATACAGCCTAAGCACAGATTGCCAAGTCCATTAGCATCTCCACTATAGAATAGGATCTCATGTAAGGCAATGCCATCACAGCTTTGCTCAAGAACTAGAAGGAAGAGACAGCAAACACCTGTATTGTCAGATTTGAATCTGAGTAGATGGGACTGTAGGACAGTGTGCCCAGTAAGAGGAGACATAAACATCCCCACTGTGGAAAGCACCCCCCTCCTTTGTAGCATAAGCCTGTGGTTGCCTTCTGCCAAATTGGGGTGGAGAGAATGAGCTTTGGTGGAAGGAACCTTTCTCTTGCTGTTTAAAACCATGAGAGTTAGGGCTGCTCATTCCTAGAAATGCTGATTACACTTTCAAACCATATTCAACATCTTTAGGTTTGTCTTTGACAGCAGAACAAAACTTAGTGACATTTCTTTTTTTTTAAGATCCATTCTTTTCTGAACCCTCGGGAGGTGTGGATGGGTTGGCTGTAGCCCCGGGATGTGGTTTAAAAGGATTACTGCCTAGCTGAGCCAAAACGTTTGCTTGTACCTGTTGGACCACTGTAGCAAACCGATGCTTACAGTGCATTGTGTATTTCTGTAGTACTGTTTTGCATTTTCCATACAGACACAAAACTTTGCAAGTCAATCACTGTTGTTCCCATGGTACTGTATTAAAAAAAAAAAAAAAAGCCAATCATTGTGTGTACAAAGTTAAAAATTGTAATTAATAGAGCCTGTTGGAGAAAAACAAAAACAACTGTTGCCTTTTTTTCCTGTATAAAAGAGAATTTATGACAAAAATTTAGCTGTGAGGAATGTGATATGTGTTTATATTTCTGAAAATGAACAAATTGATTCATGGGGATATATTTTAATGTAAACTAAATCAGGTATGTAAAGTTGTTTTAAAATGGGAGACTATATAAGTAATTCTCTAAAGCTTTAGTTGGTTTGGGATATCATCATTTCCTCCATGGTGAGCCTGCTTGTGAATTATTAAGCACTCGTTTGCATTCTCTGTTCTTCACTCATTTATATTTCTTGCCATGTGCTATGGACTTAATGCTCTTTCTGTATTGATGAAAAGCGGTATGTGGGCCGATCTTTTTATAAAACACTATGCATATATAAATATTACATTGTTCATAGCTTTATTTGACTTATGGGTTTGTACATACCATTAGAATGAGTAGCTATAGTCGTGTGGACATTTATAAAACAAGTTCCTTTCCTGGAACAAGCACGATGTACATGCTGTAGCTAAAAAGGAAGAAAAAGTCTGTGGATGCTATTTTCATTATCATGAATTTTCCATATGAGCATACATTGAGCTGTGTAGTAAAGCTGAGGAAGAGTACAAGGGAGTGATGATTTTTAATAATTCTTAAGAGCTAACTTGGGCATTTTATTCCTAAGGCTCCACTGCTAGGATTTTTTCTCACTAGTTCTAGCACAATCTGTGATATTAAATAACTGATGCTCACAATTGTGGTCCAGGGTTTTAAATAAGTGAAATCAAGGTGGATTTTTGGAGTACATATTGAAGTTAACATCTTGATGTTTTTCTTGTTGAAAGAGATGGTATTTGACATTTTAAAATCTGTACTGCCACCTTAGCTTGTCTCAGTTCCTGAAGACTTTTTGGTGTGGCAATGTCACCTTAATCCCACACATCAGACTTGCTTTGGAAATACCATATTGTGCAGGGGCTGTGCATTAAGCCGAAAGATAGATTTCTTTGAACTACTGTAATCTTAAATTGGAAACGGATTCTTGATTCTCCCCCTCCCCTTTCATGTAAAAGTGTTGATGAGAGATGATGGATGAGTATTTTGTATGATGAAATCAAACCATTTAGAACTTCCCTCGCTCCATTACACAGTTGATGCCTAAAAGAATGTCGGGGGGAGGACTTAATACCCTTCTTGTATTTTTTAAGTTTCTTTTGTGAAAGATTTTTTAATACATTTTTACTGTAAAAAATACATGGAAATGTATGCATTCCATAATCACTATTGCTTCTGATTGGTATCTTCCTTGTCTCCATGTTGTCTCAAATGTATTAGGGTCAAGTTGTCAGTGGAGGGTCCCTGATCCCACCTCTCTAACATTCCATTCTTTTGGAAGAAAAAAAAAGGGACCCTGTGGTTGCTGTGCCAAAGTGTCTTATTGCTCAAAGTGTGGTCTATGAAACAGCTGCCTCATCACCACTGGGAAACTTCTAGAAATGTAGAATCTCAGACCCCACTCCAGACCTACTGAGTCAAACTGTATATTTAACAAGATCCTCAGCTAATTTGTATGCACTGGGAATTTGAACATACTGCATAGAAGCCTGGTAGTAAAGCAAATTCTGCCAAGGCAAGAGCTTTACTTCCTAACTCTGTGATACTCGTGCAGGGTCCTTAACCAAGTGAAGCTCCTTTCCTCCTCTTTGAAGGGATGTACCTCACAGTGTTGATCAGAATAAGTGCAAAGCGCTTGGCACACCTCTGGCAATCAGTAAATGACTTTTTTTTATTGAGTTTCTAAACAGCAATTAAAATGAAGAAATACATTTTCTCTATTAAAATGGAGAAGAAACACTTTTAGTTTAATTGTAAAATTAAATAATATGACTCATGCTACTAAATATAACTATACTTACCACTGTTTTGAAATATGAAACCAAAATGCTATGCTCTGAAATTGAGACAAAAATAGTCTCCAAGCATAGCGTTTGAAGGTAGACGTATACATTAGGAATAATGACTACCAAGTCATACCAGATGCAAAGCCTGATCCATTACCTTATGACTTAAAAAGCCCCTGGTCTGATCATGTAGTTTCAAATAACTTTCTCATTTCCTTCACACACTTTGTGGGTTGTTCCTTTTGTATGACTTTGTGCCTGGGGTTTTCCTACAGAGTCGAAGCTCCTGGGCATTCAAAAGGGTATTGTGCTCAATAGCAGGCCTTCCTACAGTGCATCTCTTTTGCTGTATTTTGCTTCATTTGGTTACCAACATGGTAATTACGGACACTGCTCTCTTCCTTAGTATCTCATTTGTGAAAGAAGGCATCTAGAAATGGTCCCTAGCTTAACCAATAACTAAAGCTATTTGTAAAGCCCTAACGTCACACAAATCCTGTGCCTGCCATAAATAGCCACACTAAAAAGAATGTGCTGAGACTTAATTATAGATGTCAGGACTTTTCCTGCTGGTGGGCAAGCTGAGGCTCACCTTTGGTGGTCTGCATTAATCTTGAAAGGAAGAGCCCTTCCAAATTCCTCTAGGTGAATTTTCTTATTATGAGGCAATGCCATCACCATTGTGAGTGGTCACACAATAAGATCAGTGCTTTTGAAATACACATTACAAGGTTGCAAGAAGGACAATGGCATCCCAACTCCTCAGGAGGTAGAAAGCAAGGCCAATCTATGCAAAAAGTTAGCAAGGTCTCATCTCAAGTAATAAGCCAAGTATGGTGGACTGTGATAGTCATCCCAGGAGGTTCGAGATCCAGACCAGCCCCAGGCAAAATGAGAAGCTTTAAAAAGTAACCTAAAGCAAAAAGGGCTGGAGGTGTGTGGCTTACATGGTACAGCACCTGCCTAGCAAAAATCCACTAAAAGGAAATGACGAAGCTCAGTCCTTTCCACCACAACTTGGGGTCTGTCTTGCAAGGATGGGCCTTACGTGAACCATTTTGACTAGTGGGAAGCAAAAGGGATGCAGTCATACTTCATTAGTGTTTGTTGGATCCAAAGCCCAAGATCCATTGCTTGGATTTAAACAAGGAGGTATTAACTTGTGATATATGCTAAATACTCAAGTATTGCATTTGACTGCTGTCTCTTACTGCAGTGAATATTGTGATGTTTCTGGGGGAAATAAGGCCATGATCTCCACTGCCTGCAGCTCCAAACACCTCACCGGTAAGCACTGACGGGGAACTAGAAAGACTGCTAATTTGTACAAATAATACCCTAGGCTTGTTTCTCAGTGACTTGTTTTCTTGCATATTTATTGAAGACCAAGTCTGTGCCAGGTGCATGATGGATGGGAATACCTGGTTCTTGGTCTAGAAAGCTTATAGTTGAATGGGAGAAGAAAACAATATAATCCACATACCATGAAGAGGCATAGTGCACAGTGATAGTGATGAGTAAAGATTCAGCCAGATTGAGGAAAGTGATAATTGGACAGACCAGAAGGATTTGCTTGGTACCAGAAAAAGTACAGTGCAGGCTGAGGCAGAGGTACAGAGGGAAGGAAGGGACTGTGGTCCAAATGGAAGTGTAAATCCATAAAGGGCCAGTCCAGCCTTATTCCAAATTTCAGACTTTAAATAGACAAGGAACCATTGAAGAGCTTTTACCAAGCCCTTGAGTTGTGTCTCTTGAGGGAGAGGGAATGTGACCAGGTCAAGACTGAGTTTGAGAAAGATAGCCTCAGCACCGTGGCCAGCAGACTGGGGGAAGAGAATTAGGCAC